AAAACCTAACGCAGGACGCATTAAACCACATGTATCCTTCGTGATACTGCTGCAACGTATGGTGTACAAGTTTGTGAACTGTTCACCTCGACAGATGAAAGTGTGTTCAGAAATCATCCAGATTATTCTGTGGATGTTTTGTTGCAAAATGGGTGGTCAGGCTCACTGACTTGGTTGATGCATGTCATCATATTCCAATTGTGTAGATCGGGGCTCATGATATCAATCACAGGATTGTCTGGTCCAGACTCCATTATTTACAGACCGCTGTCATACAGCTGGAATATTGCTCAGTCCGGGGTTAAACAACAATCAAAGATAGTTGTCTTTTAAGTTGGGTAGCCAATCTCTTCCTGTTAGTCTAGAGCTCCAGATAACTTTTTGAGCAATTAAGTTACATTTTTCATTGGGTAACCAATATTTTTTAACTCATCTGTTCATCACTCTATTGGGTTTTTCCCAAAATTAGTGATCATTTTAAGATTTAAAAAAAATGAAATAATGTTTTAGATGTAGATAACTGTTCTAAATGAATAGGCTTGACTCGGAAATTAAATTAGCTCGTAATTGTGTTTCGGAAATTAGGTCCTTTGTACACATGCTGAAAAAGCTTCATTGGGAATTTACACGAGCTATTTCTATACATTTGAGTTTTTCTTTTAATGTATGCGTTTGTTTCTGTATGCAAGTTAATTGAAAGTAATTGTGTTTTGAATATTTTGGGGGGTATTTTACGCAAAAACACTGCTTGTCTGTAGCTCTGGAGTTGTATATGAAGCATTAACAGTGGAGCAGATGTTGTTTGTCTTTGAAACTTGAAAGTCAAAGGAAGATTTCAAAACTTGTTCTGTCCCAAAATCATTTCATTGGCTGCAATATTCATTGTATAAATCTTGCCAACTATTGGGTACCTCTGTTAAGGTATGGTATCAAGGGCTAGCCATAGACAGCCATGTGGTATCCAACATTGTCTGGTACCATGCATGTAACTCGGAATGCACTTGTTGACAGGGGCTCTGGTGAAATGATGACAAGGTCACCTGTGAAGGTCACACTCAGCGAAGGCCCTTTCCATGTCGCAAAGTTCAAGGACAGCAACAGAGAATTTGACCTTACCAAAGAATCTGATGTGAGTGTGTTTGTGCATGTTTAATTACCTCTTGGGAGTTAATATCCATTCATTTTATTTCTTCTGTATCTCGAAAGGTCTGTGCATATATCATGTACGTTTTAAGGAATTTGAATACCCTTCATCACCAGGATCTTATGATTGTTTTTCACCTCTGCTATCATAAGATTGACTTAGTACATCTTGTTTTTACAGTCTCTGATGATCTATTCAGCCAAATTATCACAAAGGAGGAATAAGATCACTTTTGTTCTTTCAACCAAGTCTGATAAAACTTTGAGTACTAAGCATGATAAGGAAAGTCCAACATAGATTATTATGGGAAGAAAATAATTCTTTGAATTTTCATGAGGAAAAAGCTCTTCAGGAAAATCCTACCATACTAACCCTACTTTTAAAATGTTAAAAACAAAAGATTTGGAAAGCTTATATGTTATATATTTGGGCTGGGACGGGTACTCGGGTCGGGTAGGTACTTAGTAGGACCCGGGTACCCAAAGGACTACCCGGACCTATGGTTAGTCACGTGATATATTGTTTCATGACAAAAATTCACAATATAACTACATGGTTACACGACAATTTTAACTCTCTAATGTTCGCATTTCTTCATGACTATGAACACGTTGCTTCTGACTTATACATATTTGAACAAAGCTAAAACGTCAGTCAACTTCAGTGTTTGCATGACCACATTGTTTTATACGTGTATCTAAATACATTCTGCCAGGGCTACTGTCAAACTATTTCCAATCGGACATTTTGTACCTATCTCTTGACACCAACAGCGGGTACCCGGAAAGGGTCGGGTAATAGTAGTGTGGGTACCCGGGTAGTAAAATTGGACTTGTCCCAGCCCTATTATATATGATTTCCATATTCGACGTAGTAAGCGCCCTGCCCACAGCAATATTTGCTAACATATTGGCAAGTGAACAATTCCAATTAGCACCCCTTCCGATTGATCAATGTACAAAAGACTCATATATTTGCGTATAATATGCACTCGTGTGTTATATGCACCCTTAATTATGGACAATTAAATTCTGGAAAAATATATCTGTCGTATATAAACATTTCAGGCTGTCACTATAAACAACGAAATTAATCTTTCAACTCTGTTTTTATCACCAAAATAATATTCTAATAAGACCCCCCTAAATCTAATTTCGAGAGCGCCCTGGGCGCTTATTACGTCGAATACGGTATGTATCATTTTCGATTGTCTTCATTTTACATTGATAAATACCCACTTGTAACGGTACCATAAAAAACAGCTTTGAGAATTGTAGGGGTTCTGCTTGTAATTTAAATCTTTGTTTATTATGTGAAAAAAAGACCTTAGAAACAAACTGAACAAGCCGTACAAACATGGATGAATGATGCAACTCATGTTGTTTGGCAGCTGGCCGCCCTGAGACGTGAGGTGGAGCTGAGGATGAAGGCGAGCGTACAGAAGGGTCAGACAGTCAGTAACGAGGTATGCTCAACATGGTGCTGTCACATAGCTAGCAGGATTGGGATTGACATTCTCTGGATCACATCTCTTGACATGCCCTTTCTATACTAAAAGGGGACATCGGTGGCCCAGTAGTCTCAGGCACCACAGTTTTCCTGTGCAGAGTTGTGTCCCTTAGTCATAGCCGGATCCAGTTGTTGGTTCTAGGGAGAAGGGGGGTAGCCTTGTGGTTAAAGTGTTAGCTTGTCACGCCAAAGGCTCGGGTTTGATTTCCACATAAGTACATTGTATGCTGCCCATTTCTGGTGTCACCTGCCATGATATTGCTGGAATATTGCCACAAGCCATGTAAAAGTAAAACCATTCTAACTTACTTGTTGGTTTTAGATTTACCCTGATCATGACAATTGTTTTGTCAATACTATTCCTCTCATAAATGTTCATGACGTTTTTGGTGTAAATGTCTAACCCCAGTATCCCTTTTGAAAAACCTCACATAGTTAGCTTACTTGTGCTATTCTAATTTCTGTTCTTCAAGAATAATGAATTTTTAGAGTAAAAATATCATTTATACTTATCCTGACTCATAATCATTATCTCTTTTGTCGTTATAATGGCTACTACATTTTGAAATATACATTTGATAACATACTATGTACTGATGGTTCAAAAGCCACTGACATTGGGAATATAATATTTCACAACCCTGAGGTGATCCCTGTTAGGATTCCAGGTTAGAATTTGTCCCCAGCAACCTATGCTTGTCATAAGAGGCTACAAAATGGATCGAGTGGTCAGACTCAGTGAAATGTTTGCTTGTGTGTCAGTGTACCCACCGGTGTGGTACTTTTTTCAATCACCGCTTCCGTTGTCTAGTGGTAGAGCGTCCGCCTGGAGAGCGGAAGGTCGGGGGTTTGATCCCCAGCTGCATCATACCAAAATACGTAAAAAGATGGTACTTGTTGTTACCCTGCCTGTTGCTTGGCATTAAGGGGCTAAAACAAGGACTGGTCGGCGCGGCGTCAGTATACTGTGTCTGAGCGGGGTATTCATGTTAAACTGCGGCATGGTATCCCAGTGAGCTAGCACTATAAAATCGGCATTAGTCTGGACTAGTACAAGCAGCCACATACACACACATGCATGCACGTCGCTATATAAGTGCAATAATCTTGGATGCGACGTTAAACCCCATTTCACCTCACCATTGGTTTGTCTGGTCCAGACTGAATTTTGTCCCGGTAGCCGTCATTTAGCTGGAATACTGCTCATAACAAATATGACCATGTTGATGTCTGTTTACTGTTATTGCTGTGTCTCCTCCTCCACAGTGCATCTCCATGTCAGTAGCAGGGCCAGGGCTTCAGAGGATGGTTCTTGTGGACCTGCCCGGAATCATTTCTGTAAGTTGAAAATAGAAGTAAGAAACAAAGCCTTATGAAAATATTGAGAATGGAGTTAAAATATGAAGCGTCATGTAGCTGGAATATTGCTGAGTGTTACAGTTTATTCATAAGAAGTAGACCAGTGAAGATTCCTGGGTAGAAAAGGTCTTCAGCAACCCATACTTGCCGTAAAAGGTGACTATGCTTGTTGTAAAAGGCGACTAACGGGATCGAGTGGTCATCCTCGCTGACTTGGTTGATGCATGTCATCGATCCAAATTGCGTGGATCGATGCTCATGATGTCAATCACTGGATTGTCTGGTCCAGATTCGATTATTTTACAGACCGCCGTCATAGCTGGAATATTGCTGAGTGCAAGGTTAAACAACAAACAAAGCAGTGTTGATCTGATTCTACAATGCAAGAAGGCCAAACTGTCACAACCTTTTGCCATCATCTCCATTTACTGCATCTTATATGCTACTCTAAAGAAGTTAAGGACTGCCTGATTCTTTCAAATTACTATTGTTGATCTGTCATGGCATGACTGTTATTTTATTAACTATAGTTATATGACAGAAATAGGTTTCCTGCCACTTAGCTGTCATGCTGTGATATAACTGGAATACTGTTCACATTGGCGTTAAACCCAACTCACTCCAAATTCGACCCTTGGTTAGGCTGCATCATGTAGCTAAATATTGCTGAGTGTGGTGTTAAACAACAAACAAACAAACGAAACATTTCCTAATACAGTGACTGTATGTTTGTTGAACAGACTGTGACGACCGGCATGGCGCCCGATACATGTAGCTGGAATATTGCTGACTGTGGCGTTGAACAACAAACAAACAAACGAAACATCTCCTAGTTCAGTGACTGTATGTTTGTTGAACAGACTGTGACGACCGGCATGGCGCCCGACACCAAGGACTCCATCAAGGGCATGTGCAAGTCTCACATGGAGAACCCCAACTCTATCATCCTGTGTATTCAAGGTAGAGTCAACCTCCCTCATCTTCATCATGGAGGACAAGGGAGGGGTCGAGTCCTCACACTGTGTTGGAGGCAGTACCTTGTACTCCAATGATTTCACTTCTCTGTCTTGAAGCATGATTTGCAGGACACAATTTACCCTCTAAATGTAGTATCTGGTAGCATTTATCAGGATTAAGGATACACCACCGATCAAATGGCTGTCTCTATCCATCTGAACAGGTTTTTGCCCATCCTGATTTTGCCGCACATAATAATTATTAGTTATCCAAGGGTGACTTTAAAATATTGATGAAGTATAAATTAGACAATATTATTTCAAATCTTGGCCATTTAGGCATACAGATCATCTTTAATGATATGTTGCCATTTCAAAGTAGAAATGCACTGTATATCCTTCTGCACAGATTGGCAGACATTCTAACAGGTCGACCTGTAGCCCCGAGTAGTGACATAGAGCATAGATGATGATAAACAGTAAGCAGATGGGAGGACACAGTAACCGACAGACTCGGTTCCTGATCAACCCATAGACTAGTCCAAGCTTATTTTCATATAGACACGTCGGCTAATGTCTACAGTAAAACCAGTTTAAGGTTATGCCCTTAACAGTGAGGCAGACACATTTTCCATTTTGGAGTAGGCCATGAAATGCTTGCATTATACCTATGCATATGACACTAGAGTAGATATACCCAGAATATAAGTGCAAAATCAGATCCACTGGAAGCACCCATAAAATAGATGGAGTGGTAAGACTGTAACTATCCCCTTCTGCAGATGGGTCTCTGGATGCTGAGCGGAGCAACGTGACGGAGCTGGTCAGTCAGATGGACCCCCAGGGCAAGAGAACCATCTTTGTGTTGACCAAGGTCGACCTGGCAGAGAGCAGCTTGTACAACCCAGACAGGGTAAGGTCGTCTTCAGTGGGTACAGTTTCCTGGAGCAGGATACATAATACGCACCACGATGATGTGATACACATACAGAATCTTACCCGAGTATCTTTTGACCCCAATGTGAGATTCTATTAATCATCCAATATGATGCTTCTAACTTTTCCAGTTTGTAAACCATAACATCCAGTGTCTTGAGTGTAAAAGGTGCACCTAACAGGTATTCTTATGAGAATGTTAGATAAAGAGGAACAGAGACAGGTGACCAAACATTAACTTCGGTTCTACTTCTATCCTTGCTGTTTTCCTAAATCTGTTCTGACTTTCTTCCAGATTAAATCAATTTTGGAGGGCCGACTTTTCCCCATGCAAGCTCTGGGTTACTTCGCTGTTGTCACTGGAAGAGGTAGGAGATGCTGTGTTGTTGCTGTTGTGTCGGAAGCATATTTAAAAGATAAACATACTGTGTTTATGTCCCTTTCACCCTGACAATTTATAGAAATAGCAAATGGGTTGTTGATTTGGAGAAAACACTGACGACTGCCTTCAAACAAAGTTTGGTGCTTCATAAATAATATGACTGAAGTTTGTGTGACAGAAATTGAATGCATTATAAGTCAATATGAAATGAGAAATAAGCGAACCTTTAGTTAAACACTGTAAGGGTCAAGGTCAACATCAAGGTCCTTGTCTGAAGAAAATTTTCTTTGAATGATAACTTACAAATCAATTTGTAAATTGGTACAAGTCTTCCGTGACATAAGGCAGCGGTCTGAAAAGGTTGTGACTCATCTATGTATAAGGTCAAGGTCACAGTGAAGATCATTTATAAACCAGACACAATACACACAAAATACACACACTAAGAAAAGCAGGTGGTGGGTCCTTTTGTGGTTATCTCAAGTACCACTTGTTTGCTTGTACAGTGTTCTATTGTATCAGGAGCAGTGTTGTAAAATGCTGTTTCAATCAATCAATCAATCAATCAATCAATCAATCAATCAATCAATCAATCAATTCCAGGCAACACCAATGACAGTATAGCCAGTATCAAGGACTATGAGGATCGATTCTTCAGGAACTCGCGGCTCTTCAAGTAAGTGTGTGTACCTGTATGTGGTCTGTATCACTTGTACCTGAGGCAACATGAAGTATTATGGGTGTCACTAATACATCTATCACATATCGTCATACATACCATATTTGTGTGACACTCACCATGGCAGTTTCCATGGTTGTTGCAAAACTTAAATATTGATGAAACAGGAAAATCGATACATGGATAGGTGTATGATGAATTGTCGGTGAATCTTGACACCCGTAATGAAAATATTGTCACTGTCATTAGAGCAGACAGGATTGAGTAGTTAAAATGTGTGACCTGGTTTATTGTGTGTTAAATGCACAAAAGGTGTGGATTCTTGCTTATGGATATTATATACAGGTCGCCAACATAGCTGGAATACTCCTCACAATGGATTTGTGCTAAAACTATTGCTTGTCGTAAGAGGTGACTAAATCTATTGTTCCAATGGAGATCCAGGTAGAATAGTTCTTCAGCAACCCATGCTTGCTGTAAAAGGCAACTATGCTGGTTGTTTGAGGTGATCAGGCTCTCTGACTTGGTTGATGACATATCATACTGCAACGATGGCATTTGATGTTGCTCATAACATCAATCACTGGTTTGTCTGGTCCAGACATGATAATTTATATAACCATGGGCTTATTGCTGGAGTATTGCTGTGTGAGGTGTTAAACAACAGATTTGATGCTCCATGACCGAGGTGTGTTAGAGTTATCTGCTCCTGACAGGGATGGAGTGTTGAAGCCCACGCAGATGACCACACAGAACCTCAGCATGGCCGTGTCCGACATCTTCTGGAAGATGGTCAAGGAGACCGTGGAACAACAAGCTGATGCCTTCAAAGGTAAGGATTATATTTTATGTGTAAACTATTTTTTGACTCAAGGTCACATTCTACAAAGAAACCTTAGGCATCTTTAGTACTTGTATACTCTTCAGGGAGCTGAGAATGAAAATCGGGTGCACACTGATCCATTGACCGCGGTAATAATAATGTTGCGCTCTGAGCATTCACTTAGTGAATGGAATTCTGCACATTAATAATGCACTTTCTCATTATTATTACTTTATGAGAGACACACAACTTATTGCATGAGGGATACTGTTGGGCATTAAACCAAACTCCTGTCCTCACTATTGTTGTGGGTGTCTAAGAGCACCTTGGAAAATAATCTTATTACTTTGACTGTTGATGGTTATTTGTTACAACTGAACTGGGTTTGTAGGGTGTCAGAGCTTTTATGATTTAGCATGTTTATATTAAGCTAGTGACAGTCAAATCCTGTACATTAAAAAGACAGGTCTCCAATATTTTAAGATAGACTTTTAACAGTAATTTTTCAACAGCCAAAGCAAACTAGTCTTTGCATTCTTTCCACTGAAAATAGAAATTGTGTTTTGACAGCCACAAGATTCAACCTGGAGACGGAATGGAAGAATACCTTTCCTCGCATTCGGGAATTGGACAGGGTAGGATTACATTCCCTAATGTTAATAATAATACCAAAGGAATTTTTCTGGACATGTTGCCTCCCGTGAATCCATTTGTCCACTGAAGATTTGAGTCAATATGCTGGATTTAGCGATTACTCTCATTCAAGCCCAAGGCGCTGCAATTTGCTGTGCAGAGTTGTGTCCCTTTGGCATGCCAGAAACCTGTGACTATTGGATCGAATCCCGGTTCGCCCAATTATGTTTCTAAGTTTGTCAGCACTATACCCGTGATTGTGGGTTTCACCAAAGTGTTAAATGTCAAAGACTTACATCGCTTCTCCATTTTCCTCCAACAGTAAGGGGCGGTCGGGTAGCCTAGTGGTTAAAGCGTTGGCTCGTCACGCCGAAGACCCGGGTTCGATTCCCAACATGGGTACAATGTGTAAAGCCCATTTCTGGTGTCCCCCCACCGTGATATTGCTGGAATATTGCTAAAAGCGGCGTAAAACCATACTCACTCACTCACTCCAACAGTAAGCTGACAAGCTGTGCCATAACAGCAATACTGTTAAAAGAGGCTTTGAACCCAACTCACTCACTGATTTTAATGTGTTTATATATGACAGTGTTATGAAATCCTGGCTGTACATCATGACATCATGTTCTCTGTTCTGACAGACTGAGCTGTTTGAGAAGGCACGGGGTGAGATCCTCGATGAAGTTATAAACTTGAGTCAGGTTACTCCTAAACAGTGGTAAGTTCAGACAAAGTCAGGGTTCTTATTTTAAGAAAGATCATCTTGCTTTTCTCAACTTTGGAGAACTCAGTCTTTCACACTGAAGTGAAATAAGTCCCCAGTGATCCTGGTAATAGACTACTATAGTCTGGAAGGTAATTTAAGGTACCGACGTTTACTACAATATCTGAAAAACTATCGGACCTACTCCAGTCAAAGTTGGTATGAGATTATTAAACAGTCATACATAACTGGATATTACATTTAAAGACAATCGGTGCATGAATAAAAAATCTGTCTATTTAGCTATCTCTATATTTCATCAACAACCAGACCTGTTCGTCACGGGTGGAACGAGCATTCATTGTAACAGCCATCTGCATAATGCTACCCCTGCGTCACAGGCCATATGACACAGTTGAACCAATCAACTCAACTCGAAAGGGTGCACGGGAATCACGCACACACAAATACGGTGTTAGCGTTGGACGTCTCAACGTGTGTGATTCCCGTGCACCCTTTCGAGTTGAGTTGATTGTTTCAACTGTGTCATATGGCCCTGTGCCCTTAAATTACCTTCCAGACTACTACATGGATCTGGTGTTCACGCTCCATGAGCTTGTTGATCGGGTGGCATCTTGACTCGATATCCCTTGTAACATCAGTGACTGGATACCCTGTCACATGGCTGGAATATTACCTCGCTTAATGACCCCGTGATGATCCGGGGTAGAATACGTCTTCAGCAACCCATGCTTGCTGTAAAAGGCGACTATGCTTGTCGTAAGAGGCGACTCATGGGATCGGATGATCTGGCTTGCTGACTTGGTTGATGCATGTCATCGATCCCAATTGCATAGATTAATTTCTTGTGATGTCAGTCACTGGAATCGTCTGGTCCAAACTTGATTATTTACAGACCGCTGTCATATAGCTGGAATATTGATGAATGCGGCGTTAAACAACACACAAACAAACAAACAAAACATCGCTATATGAGAAACCCTAACACTGAAACAGCTGGCCTTGCTGTCCCGTGATGTACCTATGTTGTGTCCTTCTTTGCAGGGAGAATATCTTCTACAAGAAGTTGTGGGAGAAGAATGCCACCCATGTACTGGAGAACATCTATCTACCGGCAGCCCAGGCTGAAAACTCAGGGTAAGAGAGGCAGCACTCACTCACTCACCCACTCACTCACTCTTGTAAGAGGGGACTAAATGGATCAGGTATATCAGTCACTGGATTGTCTGGTGCAAACTCGATTATTTATAGGCCGCTGTCATGTAGCTAGAATTTTGTGGAATTTGACATTAAACGCACTCCTTGACTATTCTTTACTCACTCCTTCACTCTCCTTCACTCTTGGCATATTCACTCCTTAGCTTGCTCACTTCTTCACTCTACTTCACTCACTCCATCGCTTCTTCACTCGCTTATTTATTCACTTATTCACTCACTCATTCACTCTAGGCTCATTTACTCCTTAGCTTACTCGTTCCTTCACTCTCCTACACTCACTCCTTCACTCCCTTATTCATTCACTCCTTCACTCCCTTATTCATTCACTCCATTGCTCATTCCTTCATTCACTCTTGGCTCATTCACCCCTTAGCCTGCTCACTCCTTCACTCACTCCTTTGCTCACTTATTCATTCACTCCATTGCTCACTCCTTCACTCACTCATTCACTCTTGGCTCATTCACTCTTGGCTCATTCACTCCATTGCTCACTCCTTCACTCACTCCTTTGCTCACCTATTTATACACTCCATTGCTCACTCCTTCACTCACTCATTCACTCCTCAGCCTGCTCACTCCTTTACTCACTCCTTTGCTCACTTATCCATTCACTCCATTGCTCACTCCTTCACTCACTCCTTCACTCTCCTTCACTCACTCCTTCACTCATTTACTCTTGGCTCATTCACTCCTTAGCCTGCTCACTTCTTCACTCACTCCTTCACTCACTCCTTCACTCTTGGCTCATTCACTCCTTAGCCTGCTCACTCCTTCACTCACTCCTTTGCTCATTTATTCCTTCACTCCATTGCTCACTCCTTCACTCACTCCTTCACTCTTGGCTCATTCACTCCTTAGCCTGCTCACTCCTTCACTCACTCCTTTGCTCATTTATTCCTTCACTCCATTGCTCACCCCTTCACTCACTGATTTACTCTTGGCTCATTCACTCCTTAGCCTGCTCACTCCTTCACTCACTTACCCTGTTTGGTGCTCAGCATTAAGGGGCTAAAACAAGGACTGGTCGGCGCGGAGTCAGTATACTGTGTCTGAGTGGGGTATTCATGTTAAACTGCAGCATGGTATCTCAGTGAGCTAGCACTATAAATCGGCATCAGTCCGGACTAGTACAAGCAGCCACACACACACATACACGTGCATGCACGTCGCTATATAAGTGCAATAATCTTGGACGCAACGTTAAACCCAATTTCACCTCACCTTCACTCACTCCTTCACTCACTCATTCACTCTTGGCTCATTCACTCCTTAGCCTGCTCACTCCTTCACTCACTCCTTTGCTCACTTATTCATTCACTCCATTGCTCATTCATTCACTCACTCACTCCTTCACTCACTCACTCACTATTTATCACTATGTTTGGTGTTACAGAACCTTCAACACTGCTGTGGACATCAAGCTCAAGGGATGGGCCGATGTGCAGCTTCCAAAACGATGTGTCGAGGTAAACCAATACCACCTTTCATTTGTTGCCGCCATTCACATTCACTTTGAGAATTCGAGTGAATGTTGTTCAGTGTGTGTTGGTTTCCACTGACTGGTGATAACATATAGATGCGTGTTTGGTCCACATACAAGATGGTGGATATAAATGTTCAGAGATCAGAATTGCTTCCAAAATGCTTCAATATGGATGAAGACTTTCCATCTTCAACCAACAAGTCTTTGAAAGGCATTTAGAAGTGATACACATAAGGAAGGGAATATATGGATGTCAACTTCTATATTATCGCTGCTTTCTGATTGGCTTGTGTCGGCTTCTTGTTTGTCATTTCGCTGGTTGGTAAAAAAAGTTTGCGAAAGGTTGTTCTGACATGACCTGTAATGGGATGTCCTCAGATCTTTGTTTTAGCGGTAGCAAAAACTAAGATCTGATTTTAATGAGATTAGGTAACACCAAGGTTTAATGTCTATGACAAATGTCTACGACCTGTGACACAGTTTATTAACTTACTCACTGTTGACCCGGGAAGATCTGGGAAGAGAACAGGTCCTCAGCAACCCATGCTTGCCGTAAGAGGCGACTATGCTTGCGACTAATGGGATTGGGTGGTCAGGCTCTCTGACTTGGTAAATGCATGTCATCATATTCCAATAATGTAGATTGATGCTCATAATATCAATCACTGGATTGTCTGGATTATTAACAGACCGCCATCATATAGCTGGAATATTGCTGAGTGCGGCATTAAACAACAAACAAACACTGACTGTCATGGTCATTCTTCAGGTTGGGTGGGAGACGCTACACGAAGAGTTTCAGAAGCTGGTTGGTCGCGACCAAGACAAGAAACACCATGATGACATCTTTAACCAACTCAAGTCTGCCGTCATTGAGGGTTCCAAAGAACGACACAAGTGGGATGAGAAGGCCGAGCAAAGCCTGGTAAGCGGCTCCACAGAGAGTGATCTACCTGCGAAAGAGAGTGATCTACGTGTGTGAGAGAGTGATCTACCTGTGCGTCAGAGATTACTGTGTGTCAGAGTCATCTACCTGTGTGTCAGAGAGTCATCTACCTATGTGTCAAAGAGTGATCTACCTGTGTTTCAGAGAGTAATCCAGGTGAACATCTTGGAGGACCGATCTGTGAGTGACAAGCGCCACTGGGATTCTGCCATCAAGTTCATGGAGGACACCCTGAAGGAAAAACTTAAGCAGTGTCAGTATTTACAGCATTGTCAGCAGTCAGTTGTCTTGTGGTTAAATCATATGCTTATCATGTCTGTCGCCCAGGTTTGAACCCACACAGGGGTACAATGTGAGAAGTCCGAGGTTTTGATGAAAGGTGTTCACTGTACCATGTGGGGAATAAAACCTGGGGCTTCACTGTGACCGGCAAACACATGACTAGCCTACCTAGCCTCTGTTAGATAGTTTTATAATTCCAGACAAAGTGTTCAGTGTGCATATGTTGGTGCATGTGACACTCCCAACAGTATATAGCGGAAGAGCGGAAGGTCCGGGGTTCGATCCCCGACCGCGTCAGACCAAAAGACGTTACAAGATGGTACTTGTTGTTACCCCGTCTGGTGCTCGGCATTAAGGGGCTAAAACAAGGACTGGTCGGCTCGGAGTCAGTGTACTTTGTCTGAGTGGGGTATTCATGTTAAACTGTGGCATGGTATCTGAGTGAGCTAGCAATATAAAACAGCATCAGTCCGGACTAGTACAAGCAGCCACACACACACACACACACGTGCATGCACGTCGCTATATAAGTGCAATAATCTTGGGCGTGACGTTAAACCCCATTTCACCTCACCACCCAACAGTATATGTCCAAACAGTATGTTTGTTTATCTGACAGCGGAGGACTCGCTGCGGAAGCTGACGGGCCCGAGCACGACGGAGCAGTGGATGTACTGGCAGAGACAGTCTCAGGACAACAAGGACAGGTCTGCCGCCAAGAGTGAGCTGGAGAAACTCTTCCACACTGACCCTGTGAGTGGACTTTGAAACATTGAAAATTGACTCATATGCAAAAGAAAGCCCTCAAAATCTTTGGGATGCAAAGGATGTCTTCATGTCCATGAAGACTGGCGGTGGCAAGTCCCTCCCTTACCCGTTTCCTTTTCACTGATCTCAACACTTGATTGGTCGGTAAAATGGAAACGAAAACCAGGGGTGGGTAATTTGAGATCGCAAGATCCACGAAAATGGATCCAGGTGTTAGTACATGTTTACCGAATTGCTAGCTCTGGAGATATGGAGGATGGGGACAGTATTGCTGTAGTTATAATCGCTCTTGCAATATTTGCAATTGTGGTACAACTAATATTTTTCCCTCCAGTTTGTTTTGTGTTTGGTTATGGCCATTTACAGAAGGGAGGCAACTCTAATTAGATTTCAGCATATTTTTTTTCAAAAGATAAAAAAATAATATTTTTAGGTATTTTACTTGAGATGTAGATTAAAGATATTGTTTGATCTCATCCAAGCAATATCAGCTGTGGAAGCCAGCTTTTGGATGATAAACTAGAATAGTTACTTGAATGTTGTGGCTTGTTCTTTCAAAAAGCCAGAATTTGTGACAGGGATTCTGCACACTCACTGTATTACTAGTATATATTTAGTTCCCAATTCACATCAGGAATCCCTTTGTGTCACCATTATCTTAGGCCCTTGGTTACTTTTATTTTCATTTGGCTGTTAGTTTTTTTATACAGATCAGTGTTCCCGCTGGCTCTTGAAACTGCCAGTCCTGTTGCACCGGTAACTCTAAAAATTACCAGTCCCCCCCCACTAATATTTGACAGTCCCAACTTTCAACAAATAAAAAAACATATGAAAATTACCTGGTTAAAATTCTTTCAACATCATGTTCAATGCAATGATGTCATCTCTGAAGTAGCTTAGTTAGATCTACACATTATTCACACAAAGTTCAGTCACAATTATCTAATCTTTTTTTTTATATTTCAAGATGAAGTCACTACAAATATTTTTAACCTTGAAGCAAAGCAAAATGTCATTTCCTTGCACTAAAAATCGACGAGGGAAACTCTGATGGTAACAGACAAGCCGACTTCGTTCGAAAAATATACTTATATGGATATCACAGATTTATAAGATACTTTATTTGTCGGTCCACAGGGACTGGCAGTCACATGAATTACCGGTTCAAGCCTAATTTTACCAGTAGAAAACTGGTAAATACCGGTAAACGGGAACACTGCAGATGTCATACATTACTGATGGGGATTTCAGTGTGACAGTGAAAAAAAACAATGACTATTGTTTTAATGTATTTCTTATCAGAATGTAAATAGTATTGTAGGCACCTTGGCGGATATGGGTGTAACAGGGACTTTGTATGTGTTTACAAGAGATATCCCATCCATTTAGCCAGGGACTGCCTCCGTGGTCTAGTGGTAGAGCGTCCGCCCGGAGAGCGGAAGGTCCGGGGTTTGATCCCCGACCGCGTCATACCAAAAGACGTTAAAAGATGGTACTTGTTGTTACCCTGTCTGGCGCTCGGCATTAAGGGGCTAAAACAAGGACTGGTCGGCTCGGAGTCAGTATACTGTGTCTGAGTGGGGTATTCATGTTAAACTGCGGCATGGTAACTCAGTGTGCTAGCACTATAAATCGGCATCAGTCCGGTCTAGTACAAGCAGCCACACACACACGTACATGCACGTCGCTATATAAGTGCAATAATCTTGGGCGCGACGTTAAACCCCATTTCACCTCACCTCCATTTAGCCGGGGATAATAGTCAGGACTACAGGACTTGCAATGTAAATTGTTTGTGTCTTAATTTGTGTGTTATTTTCAAGCAACACAAGTCCCACCTGTCCGGCGACGAACTGACCACAGCGAGGAAGAACCTGCAGAGTTACAGTATAGATGTCTCCAATGACTTTGTGAGTGGTCACATGATCATGTGATTTGTTTGTTTGATTTGTTTGTTTCATGCCGCACTCAGCAATATTACAGCTATATGATGGCAGTCTGGAAGTAATCGAGACCAGACAATCCAGTGATTGATATCATCATCATTAACATACGATGGGATACAGTGATTGATATCATGAGCATGGGGATACAATGGGATACAATGACATGCATCAACCAAGTCAGCAAGCCTAACCACTCGATCCCTTTAGTTGCCTCTGACAACAAGCATAGTCACCTTTTACAGCAAGCATTGATTACTGAAGACCTCTTCTGCTCCGGATCTTAACGGGTAACATGATCATATGAATAGGCTTGGTTGATTTATCACTTGCTGGCCTTGTCATCTAAGGCGACGCAACTTGTTGTGCAGAGTTTGGGCCCTCAGGAATGCCAAAAATAGACAATGGGTTTGAATCCCAGATTATGTTTCTTGGTTTGTCAGCACCATACCTGTACATGTTAGTTTCACCACGGTGATAAACATATAAGATCTTCTGCTTGCCTCCCATATGAAGGTGACACTCAATGTTATTAAGGGCACACTGTTCAAAATGCTGTTCAAGGGATGTCACCAGCTCAATGTGTCTCATTCATCAAGCCCTCGGTATTTTTTATCAAATCAGATGTTGTAAAAGAATTTTAGATGGAAAAGATGTTGTCCAGGGGGTGGGAAATCCTCTTGTATTTGCACCCCCCCCCCCCCCCCCCCCCCCAACCCACAGACCCCCCTTTCCCCCCCCACCTAACAGACCCCCCCCCCACACACACACCCCACAGACCCCTGCACACACACACTCCCCCCCACACAGACCCCCCCCCCCCCACACACACACACACACACAAACCACAGACCCCACACACCCCCAACCCCACACACCCCACAGATCCCACAGACCCCACACACACACACACCCCACAGACCCCACACCCCCCCCAACCCCACAGATCCCACAGACCCCACACACATACACACCCCACAGACTCCCCCCACACACACACCCCACAGACCCCACCCATCACACACTTGAAATTAATGATCTGTCACTGACAACACACTTTGTTTGTGACTGATGGTACTGTTCTTGAAAAGTGGAGAATAGTTTCTTGCTCTGGGATGGATGTCTTGTGCCCCTGCTTTCGTTAGTAAGTCATTCTGTTCCTTCTTTCAGATCCGTGAGACATGGTATCACGTGTTCCGGCTGAACTTCTTCAAGAAGGCTCTGTACCAGGCCCAGCAGTGCAAGAAGGGCTTCTACTACTACCAGAGAGGGTTCTCAGAATCCGGGGTAAGTGCAGCCATTGTTTCCATTGCTGGATCATCAAAAATGGAGAGATAAAAATATATATTCAAGCTCAGATTTTCCTAGCCGAAACATCACATGCGAAAAAATATTTGTTACTAATAAGCAAATCGACACCAAATCAATGCTTTTTTGGGACATTCATATTTTGCCAAATCAAGTAGTTGCTGTTGATTTTTTGTACATTTTTCTTGATACCCAGACTTGACAATATTTACCTCCCTGTCTCCCGAGGAAAGCTGACACTTCACACTCTCACAGAGTCAACACATCAAAGGTTAAACCCCGTGAAGATTCCGGGGTAAAATAGGTCTTCAGCAACCCATGCTTGCCGTAAAAGGTGACCATGCTTGTCGTAATGGGCAACTAACGGGATCGGGTGGTCAGGCTCGCTGACTTGGTTGATACATGTCATCGTTCCCAATTGAGTGGATCGATGCTCATGATATCAATCACTGGATTGTCTAGCTGCAATATTGCTGAGTGCGGTGTAAAACAACAAACCAAACCAAAATCAAAGGTTAAATCTGATGTCCTCTGACTGAACACTTGTGATCCAAACTGATTCAACAGAGATTAATCAGGTGTCAGTTAGAATTCCCACATTGGAATTGCGATCATCTATAGTGTTCTGTGTTAACAAAGGCAACTTGAATTTTATTGATAATAGAATTGTGAACATAGCTGGATCCAGAGGAGATGTCAAGTTGGCCTGAACCCCTCCCTTTAGAAAACCAGATGTAGTATGTTGTAGGCAGTAAAATTATCGGAGAGTGGATTTTGATATTTGGACCCCTCCCTTGTAAAAATGCTTGATCTGCCCTTGATGGAAGAGCTGATGCTCAGCTGTACACTATTGCATTGAATGCAGTGTTGTGGTACTGTGGAAACGGTGTGGCCTTGTATTTAATTACTAAGTGAGATTATGGGACAAAACAAGAGCCAACAACCTGTGCCAGGTCGAGTCTAACATTGGATTTGATGGTCAGTGTGTGTGTTGAGAGAGAACTAGAGAAAATGGCATAAAGGAATTTAGTGTCACATTGATGTGCTCCTGTAGTTATGGTGGAGCTTTGGCCCTGGCAATAAAAGTTGATATTGACATGAAATACGATTGGTAAATAGAGAATCTCACCCTCATGTCTTTTTTATATCAAATATATCAACACGAGTTGATAAAAGTGGAAAAAACTCCGAGACCTGTCTTAAGTGTAAAAGGTACTGCTAACAGCTTCAGTAGCAGAGCCATTAGTGATGTCATTTGATTGTGACATCATGGTAACCAATGACGTCACAATGGTCTGCAAAGCAGTGTAGATATCGCTCGATCTTACACAAGCCATATCTCCTGTGGGAGCCAGTTTTGGATGATAAACCACTTTTGTCCTTGTGTTGGTTCAGCTGGAGTGTCATGACGTGGTGCTGTTCTGGAGACTACTGCGTATGTTGGAGGTGACAAGCAACTCACTCCGCCAGCAGGTCGTCAACAATGAAGGTCAGTGTCACTGTGTGTCTGTATGTTCAACTGTTTCTCTGGCTATGTGTCTGTATGTTCAACTGTTTCTCTGTCTGTGTCTGTATGTTCAACTGTTTGTCTGTGTGTATGTATGTTCAACTGTTTCTCTGTCTGTGTGTCTGTATGTTCAACAGTTTCTGTCTGAACATCAACTGTTTCTCTGTCTGTATGTCTGAATGTTCAACAGTTTCTGTCTGAACATCAACTGTTTCTCTGTCTGTATGTCTGAATGTTCAACAGTTTCTCTGTCTGTGTGTCCGAACATCAACTGTTTCTCTGTCTGTGTGTATGTATGTTCAACTGTTTCTCTAGCTGTGTGTATGTATGTTCAACAGTTTCTCTGTCTATGTGTCTGTACGTCAACTGTTTATCTGTGTGTCTGTATGTTCAACAGTTTCTGTCTGAACATCAACTGTTTCTCTGTCTGTATGTCTGAATGTTCAACAGTTTCTGTCTGAACATCAACTGTTTCTCTGTCTGTATGTCTGAATGTTCAACTGTTTCTCTGTCTGTGTGTCCGAACATCAACTGTTTCTCTGTCTGTGTGTATGTATGTTCAACTGTTTCTCTAGCTGTGTCTATGTATGTTCAACTGTTTCTCTGGCTTTGTGTCTGTGCGTCAGCTGTTTATCTGTGTGTATGTATGTTCATCTGTTTCTCTGTCTGTGTGTCTGTATGTATAACTGTTTCTGTGTATGTTCACCTTCGTGTGTGTTTTCAGCTCGGCGGCTGGAGAGAATCATCAAGGACACACTGGAGGATCTCGGGGAGGACAAGGAGCGGCTGGAGAAACTCCTCACCGGGAGACGGGTGCTGCTGGCCGAGGAACTCAGTGAGTACAAACACCTGGAGTATTGCTGAGGGATGCGTTAACCAAACAAATCCAAATCTTAATTCTTTCCTTAAATCAATAATGAAAATTGTATTGCTAAATAATTTCATTTGATTTTAATTTGTTTCAGAAAAAGTTCGACAAATCCAAGACAGATTAGAAGAATTTATTCAAGCATTGAACAAAGAGAAATAGTGCATAATCTATGTAGAATATCTATGAATCATCCCATTCTTGGCTGATGGCCCTCGAGACAGGGAGTGTGCAATGAAGGGGACAGCTGAAAGTCATAAACGTACCCCTGCTTCATCTTTGGATGAATCTGACAGTGATGAAACTGTTCTGATTGTTTTCTGTCAGATCTGGTTTCTTTCCAGCAGGTGCCATGAGTTATCTCCCCAGGAAAATGGCCGCTCTTCAGTGCTAAACATTTTGTAGGGTGTGTGTGGATGAGTGTTTGTAGCTGGGTCGGCAGAATGAAGAAGCCATTTGGATGGAGCTGTAACAATTATTTATGAGTGTTTTCTCATTTTTTCATCATTCGGGTTCTAATGAGCATTCTTACTGGCTTCCATTCCCTGTTCTCATCAATTCCTGCAGCGTCAGCAGTTATCTCTTGACCTGCTGATGTATTAGATCAAGATGATCCCATAGAAGTGTTGCTTAAAGACACCAGCTTTGAAAGTTCCAATCAGAAATTGCAAAAAATGCCTTAGAGTCACTCAATACATTTCACAAGGCATAAACGTTTATGCTTTTATAGAGTTTTGATTTGTGAAAGTAGCATCAGTAGTTAGGGACCAAGCATTTGATATTCAGGGGAGGTGGGTGTTTAAATCGAAAAAAATATATTGCCCCAGACAATGATTGAAAAAAATATTTTTGCCTCAAACTGTTGAGAAAAAAAGAAATTGTCTGCCACAAAAAATACATTATGTTACAAGATGTTTTAAAAATATTTTTGGCTCATAAGAAATATCAGGTGTAGCAACTGTAGCTGAAAGAAAATCCAGTCTCCATACAAAGTCCCAGCCCCCTCCAGAATATCAAGTTGTCGGTCCCCTCTATACAAAGTCCCAGCCCCCTCCAGAATATCAAGTTGTCGGTCCCCTAAGGGGTCCGTTCCTGTCCGTCTACATCTTTATCATGCTTGATGTTGATGTTGTAATTGGAAGCAATGGTTTCAAATGAATTTTTTCAGAAATTGTTTGGATGAAAGGCATTTCACAATTGTATTAAGAAAAGTCTAGCCATGTTGAAGAAAATGTGTTGAATGAGAACAAGAATTCCTCTGTCATGCTTGCTGACGCCTTGATCCCCAAAACTTTATAATGGACATAATAAATTTTTAATATTTTCATCCCTGACTGTCTTACAACCAACTGTCCGCCTCCATGATTGTATAGTCCTCATATACCTAAAGAAAAGAAAAAACACTTTGTGTTTGCCTTCTTTATTTACTTGATGCAACACATCATATTCCCAGTCCAACCAGACAGGGGCCATGGCAGGCCTTGTGGTTAAAGTGTTGCTCGTTGTGCTAGATCCCAGTTTCGATTTGTCACAAGGGTACAATGTGTGAAGCCTATTTCTTGTGCTGGAATATTGCTAAAAGTGGCGTAAAACTCACTCTTACTCTCTTTCTTACCGATATAACTATGACCTATGTTATCTGCTTAGTGCCTGACCTGTTTTTGACATTTCCATATGCAACTCTCTGAAATAAGGGACAGTCTCGGAGAAGAAAACTGGAATTCAATACCAGTTAACTGTGGCTTGCCCTGTACTAAACACTGATGTATGTTTGTAATCAAACATCCACTGAGATTGTTGATTTTGTGTGTGTGGTGGGTTGGGGAGTGGTCCTTTTGGACAAGTGAAAAACTAAAGGTAAGCCCATCAATAAAACAAAAAGCTCCAAGCGTAAAATGATATTCTTTGTTTTCTGGCGTTGGTGCCTGCTTATACAGAAACACTACGTAACAGGGGTTTTATGCAACTTCGACAAATATATGAACAACAAGACTTCTGAGTGTAACTCTTGTCATCAAATTTTCAGTATCTGTCTCCATCACTTCAGTCTCTCTCAAACCCTCAATATTAGGTCATGTCATTTGAATTTACTTATCAGTCAAGCATGTATGCTTTTAAATTTTCAGTACGAGCTGTGAGGAAATCGGACCATCATATCTGATTTCTGTATCTCGAAAACAAATGCAAAGGGGAAGTTCCGAATGGGAAATGATAAGGACTGTGCTTTTATTCGCCATCTGCACTGAGGAGAGTGTACTGTCAGAGACCACATAAGTGTTCTGTGAGGGTTTTATTTGTTAAGATTGAAATTTTTGAAAGCAAGTGATAAAGTAATGGAGCCTAATTGTTTTAGAACGCCATCATCTGATTGGCCAAAGATCTGACACATCCTTCATTTTGATTGGGTGATTATAGTTCATGCCGGGTTCACCTCACGTGTTCTGTGGATGGTTTGTAAGGCAGGTGTTGAACTGGAGTAAACTATGTTGACTTTAATGATATTGTGGAAAAACTAGGAACAGTATTAGAAGACAAAACAATGTATGATCACTAGGGTTTTAGCTCATCTTTTCATACTGAAATTGTATGGGCGTAACTTCAAAAACAAATGTTTTCTGACTTGTATGCCATTATTGATATTTTAATGCTGACATCATCTCCTCTGTGATGAAAAGCATGGTATATATAGGTCAATAGAAGACCTATCACATACAGGACAGTGTTTTTGTCAAATATTGAAATATGTTGTCTCTGTTGATCTGTATTTTGTTCATGTGCGCGTAATGTATGTTGTAGGTGTGTGCATTAGGAATGATTAGAGAGTTGGTTTTGAATGATTTAGCAACAGATGAATGAAATTGAAAATGATATTCTGGAACAAATCAGACACTTATTACCCATGCTTTTTGTAAGGCAATACTTTTGTATTTTTCAGTTTATGGATTTGATGGAGACGAAGGCCATGATAAGACAATTAAAGAAGAAGAGTATATATTTGTTCTTATTTTCCTGACAGATCTATCTTTGAAGATTAAAAAAATTAAAAAGATGCTGCTAGAAATCTGTTGACTGTTAACATCTTAAATACCAATTGATCAATGGATATTTATTATCGGTATTTTAATTATCTGTACATATTCTATTCTCCAGCTTACACTTTCTCTATAAAAGAATCCCTGACTCCAATATCAAATTGTCAGTTCCCTTATAAGTGTTTGCTGAAGACGTAGGTTGAATCCTTGTTGTTCTTTGTTGAAGAAAATCATGCAGACTTTATCATGCAGAACAGTTTCCTTGTGTCGTCCTCGTGACAATGTGCTGCCCACACAATACTCTAACATGACATACGTATTGACACCAACCATAGACATTACATGACATTCTGTATTCAATGTCATAAACACAGTGTGTATAGTTAAAGAATCCAGGGGCTCTTTATTTCATCGTTGTTTCCAGTTGCTTTCTGAAGTATGATAAACGGTTATTTAGTTCAATGGCAGTAGTCTTCAGGTTGGTTGTGATGTTTGTTTTGATTCTTACACATCAGTTGAGGTAAACAGATTCTTGGAACAGTACATCATGATTGAGTGCGTTGCTAATTTCTTTTACATAATCTCTGAGGTCCACACATTTCTGCTGCTGATGCTGGGGTGCCTGGATCCCCACTGGCGGAGAAGGCCTTGGGGTGTAAAAGGTCCTCCGCAACAGAAATGACGTCATCATTTGCATACAGTAAACTATGGTTATAACGAACTCAAAGGGACCACTAATTTTAGTTCGTTGTAGCCGTGGTTCGTTATATGCATATATACAGCATCAGCATAGCTACAGCAAATAGTCGGGACAAAAAAGTAAGTTCGTTATATCCGTCAGTTCGTTATAAGCGTGTTCGTTATAACCGTAGTTTACTGTAATTGCCAAACAGGGTTTTTTTTCAAGTTTAGCAAGAAGTGGAAATCTAATGGTGACAAATCTGGTTAATATTAGAAATACTCGACATTCTCAAATCAAAAAGGTTTGGGCCAAGGGATAATACAGGTAGCTCTTTAATCAGTGTTTGAGGGCCTCAAACAGTACAGGAGTATATAATCTCATAAAATGCATATTTGAGTCGGTAAAAATTATTGTTTAAATCACGATCTTGAATCAAACTTGAAATTATAGTTTCAATGCTTGCCTGTATCTTGTTCTCTGTGGCCTGTGTAAAAGCAAGACACAACCGCGGGGGGAGTCTGTAGGAACTGAACAACATTGTTAGAAATATCCGATGCAGAACATGCTTATATGATCTGCTTCAATCAATACTGCTGCTGGCAAAAGCTCCCCGAGGTGTATTCAAGTGGACTTGATCCTGTCAACACCTACTGGTTTTATTGTACAAAGCCATTTGAATTCTGGATTAAATATGCAGTTTTGTGATGCCTGGATACTTCAGGTGTGTAAGTGCTACATTAAATATGATACTAAGAGATGACAGACTCTGTTTTATTTTTGTATGAGTTACGTGAAGTGACATCGAGGGAAAGTCAAAATGTTTGTGTTCTGGCATAGACAATTGGACAGAATCAAAATTGTTCACAATATTTTCAGTAGTATCTGCTTTGACGCCAACACACTTTGTCAAGCAATGCTCCAGCCTCGTTGTTATTGAAGTACAGTCCCGTTAATCAGACATCGATGGTTGCACATGATTATGTCGGATTATCGAGTATGTTGGATAAGCGAAATTAAGTAGTATAAACGTTTGTGATCGAAAATCGGACAACTACACAATAGATAACGATAAAAACACGTAATAAAATAATAAAATGAAATATTTATATTGTTATGTTACATTGTTGGCGATATGTTTTCTAATCATACAAACTCTAAAGCTCAACACACGGGCTGTGTACTCGCGGGCAGATGACCAAGGAGTACGGTGATCACTTTCGGATTAACGAGACTGATTAATGAGTGATTTCGGTAATTTGTTGCAAATTGGGTGTGTCGGAGTCGGAGTGCAAGACTGTCGGGTCTAAATAGCACTGATTTAATCGGTTCCCATCATTAGTGTCTGATAAAGCCAATTGTCAGATAAACGAGTCTTGACTGTATGTTGGGTTCCAAAAAAGACTTCGATAGTGGCAATCACCTCGCCATGACTTAAATTAAACAGATGAAACCCTTTCCGTAGCCAACTGAAATCTCTGATACAATCAGAGTCCATTGTACGTTTCCAACTCTATAATGACCATGTGTCTAATAATCACTATCAAACAGTGATGATTCCAGGTATTTGTGAAAAGATGCGTGTATCCATGGCACCCATCTCAAACACATGCAAAGACAAGTCAATTATTCACTGAAAAACACGGGAACGTATTGTGTAATTCTATATAGGGTTTATTTTCTACATGTTACAAGAATTAATTGATAAATATTCTAAACGTACAAATTCTATGATATAAGAAGGCATTAGGAGAAGCTATTGAGGAGAGACACCATGGTCTCTATTGTGGATTACAAGCAAAAGCTGAATTTAGATATTTAGGAAAGCTTTCCAGTCCTCTACTTCCTTATAACCTATCTGTTTTGAGGGAAAAGGTACTAGTAAGTATTACAAATTCTTTTCAATTTAAGGTTTACTTGATAACCTTGTCACAAAAAGATATGAAGACATGCTCCTTAAACATTTCACATAGGGATATTTTCAATATTATACCATCGAAATGTTAATTTTAGATTTGATTTGGTTACAATACAGACTTTTACCAAACGTATTACCAACAAGAAATTTCTTTTAGAAGATGAGATATATAGATTCGTCTGTGCGATGTTTCTGTGGACAGCATCTTCCCCGAGGCAAGGGAGTTAACTCACAATAAAAGTACAGTTTCCACCCTTGCTGAACAAGGCTGGAATTATGGAGTAATATTGTGGCTGGACCAAGGAGTCAATAGAAGGGACATAACTGGTGGCGCTATAATTGGGCCTAGAAATAAGAGCCAAGCTCGGCAAGGGTGGGAACAGCACTTTAACAGTCAGTTTACTCCCTTGCCTCGGGAAGATGGCAAACAGTCACTGGAAATTATTAAACACCATTTTTGGGGATACTGATCTGAACTGATCTGATACTAAGACCACTAGACAATCATTTGACCCTATCAAAGCAAAATATTATATTAAGGAATAAAGGTCAAACAAAACAATGCTGTTTATGTTATAACTTTTAACATCCTGCATTACTCCTTAATGCATTTACTGCTTGTTCTTGACAGAGAAAGAGCTGTGAGACGTCTTACTGAAGAAGAACTTGTTCCAACTGGTTGAGTGGCGAACCCTCGAGCTCTCACCCAGCTCCCACGTGACCACGGAAGTAGTGATGTCACATTACTGCTGTCACCCACGGAGAAAAGTCGCCTGTTTTTGGGTCTCAGCTCTAATCCAAAGAATCCTTTGAGTGTTTCCCAAACTATTGTTTCTTTGTGGTTGTTATTTGTGCTTACGGTTTATGACTTCATATGTTTCCTATGATTTATGCCATAGCATTAATACTTATCGTCTGGTGGTGGTGTTTACCTCGGTAAATATCAGGTGTATTGTTGTGCCAACTTGCCATTTTGAATTCACCTTGTGGTCACGTATTTTCGTGCCATGCGTTCTGTAATCTCTGTATTGCTTGGTACTTTAATTCATTGTCGTACCTAGCGATACTATTGTTATTGTACAGGTGGTTTTTCGTGTTGCTTGCGTCAACTTGTTCGTCATAAACCAACATGCCTGGGATAAATGATTATAGCATACATAATCACGTGAGAACTCGTTTTGATTACACTCTGCTATCATTGTCGATAATTTGCCACGTTGCATCTCCCCGGTGCCGGACCCACAAGCCTGGGCAATCAACGCCTTTAGCGTCCCCTGGGAAGTACTTAAAGCGTACGCATTTACACCGACAGCGCTCCTTCCCAGGGAGTGTACTTCAGAAGATCAGATTGACCCAGAGCCTCCCTTGGTGGCCGGCGATAGGCTGGTTCGTGGACCTCAGAGAAATGTCCTTCACGACCCCCCCTCGAACGACCAGACTGGCCAAACCTGCTGATCCACCTTCACTGCAGTTGGAGGGGCGGTCGGGTGGCCTAGTGTTTAAAAGCGTTCGCTCGTCACGCCGAAGACCCAGGTTCGATTCCCGACATGGGTACAATGTGTGAAGCCCATCTACAAAGAGCTCTTAGTGCCTAGGGTTACTCGGCTAGGGCAGCGAAAGCTATCGCCTTGTCGCACAGACACTCCACGAAGGGCCCGTTTGACGAGAAGTTGCGCTCCTTTGAGAGGTTCTGCAAGGAGAAACACCAGGATCCTGGATAGCCACAAACGTCATCTGAAGGGCAACACCATCACAACCTACCTTGTGGCCCCAAGCTCCGTCTTGGCAGTTCCGGATGATTGAAAGATGACAAAGATTCCGGAATTCAAAACGCTGTTACGTTCATTTCGTCTGGAACACCAGAAGGCCAAGTTCAGACCCCCTTGGTTCTTACTTTTCGCTTGGCTCTGGCAACAACGGCACGAGTGAGCGAACTACACGCTCTAGACCTCACCCATGTGCGATTTGAGCGCAGAGTGCAAGGAGCTGTTAATCTTGGGCTGTGCTCGGACTCGTCGCAGAGCTCTGATGTAACAGTATTGTGCTGATTAGTGACGTCACTCCTCTGTGGTCACATGGCAGTTGTGTGCTTGGGTAAGCCTTGGAAGGAACAGCTTCTTCAGCAAGACCTTTCACATGAAGGTGTAATGCAGGATAAGTATGCAACATTAAAAATATTTAGATTTTACAAGTGCAACAAATAATTTAAGACGTAGCAGGAAAGAAGTCTTTCCCTCTTTTTAACAAATCGTGAAAGAAATCGCCAGGTACAATACTGTTACAAAATGTGTATATTTCTCTATGTGGACACCTGACTTGTTTCTACTCGTTTTGGTCAATTATGCATACATTTCTCAACCAGAAAGTCTTTATTTTATTCCTTTAAATATTCTCTTATTCGTGGTATTTTAGGCCTTTTCTGTATTTGATTTTCTATTTACAGATTAATGTAAGATATATGTAGTAAACTGTTATACACTATAAGAAAATGGAAAAATCTTTCTACGTCCTTATCTGTGTCCATCTAAAAATAATGTATAATATTGGTATTGACTATGAATATGATCATGATCATGTCTTCCCTGTACCGCTAATAAAAAGAAAAACGGAAAATATAAAAAATGTATAATTTAAAAGAGAGCAAATTATTAAGTTCCCCAACTTTTTCAGAAATCCACTGTTGAAAGTATTGTATTTCAAAGTATCATTTGTTCGTTTAAACTACTGAACTGAACTGAAGGATGTGACACACATGTGGATCTGGCGTTTCACTTAAACCAGCTCAGATGACTGCCGAACTAAGCTTACTCGAGTAAATATCATACTTATTAAACCTGAGCCAAAAATCAACTCGGGTCGTTGTATCAGTTGAAGTTGGAGACGTAACAAACGCGAACAAGTCATTAAAGTTTGAGACAGAGAACTAACTATGTTCAGACTGGGACACATCAGCATTGTCGCCCATCGCTCACCAATTCGGGTTCAGAAACAGTCTCTTTGTTAAAGTTGAGGTCCATGTCACCGTCCCTTTGTTGGTTCTTCTAAGCCTCTTGTCGACCTTACAAAACGAAATGATCATTACAAAACAGCAACATAAAATGGTAACTTTATATGAAATATATGATTCGTGTTGCACATGTATAGTAAGATGTTAATAATTACAATTGACAGTTTTCCGCCGAGTTTCATCCACATCACGGGGACACCGACTGGGTACCCGTCAAGGGGAATTGAACCCGGGTCCTTGGCATGACATGCAATCGCTTTAACTACCCTACTTTCCCTTGTCTTACATGTTGGTCGATGGGGAAAATACAAGCAGACTGACCCTTCTCAGCATATCTTGCATGTCAGCGCCTGCACCGTGGTGGCGGATAACTCTGTCCAGAGCGGAGATGAACGGACATCCCACTTCTTCGCCCCCCACTGCAACAACACCTTCATTGTAGCCATGGTTTCTGATCGTTAGGAATCAATTCAATCAATTTCAACAAAATAATCACATAGCGACTGCCATATATAATTGTGTCAAGAATTAAGTGGAAGAAGGTTGCATAAAAATGTGTTCTTTCATTGAGGGGAGCACGGGTGGCCCAGTCGTCTAAGGCGCTGCGATTCGCTGTGCAGAGTTGCATCCCTTGGGCACGCCAGAAACCAATGATTGTTGGTTTAAATCCCGGTTCGCCCCGATTATGTTTCTAGGTTTGTCAGCGCCATACCCGTGCTCGTGGTTTTCACCGAAGGGGTAAACGTCTTAGACCTGCGTCACTAAGGGTCTCTTCCAGATTTCAGATAATTTACAAGGGGGCTTCGTATTCAACGGTTGCCGAATGTACATTCGAAAATATTACCACAGAACACAATACATATCATCTTCCCGAGGCAAGGGCGTTAACTTACTATAAAAGTCCAATTTCCACCCTTGCCGAACAAGGCTGGAATTTCCAGGCTCGATCGTAGCGCCACCAGTGGCTATTGCGAGAATTAGATTGAATTTCCATCTCTCATATCACATGAATTTGCTTCAAACAAAATGGCGGCGCCCAGTCAAGACAATCTGATCGATAATCAAGATGTATATTGTAATAAAACGGGTCTTACCCCGCGAAGTGCATCAAATCACATGAGTACCTGGATTTAAAAAAAGAAAAGATTTGAAAACTGTTGGCGGTACACATGCTTTGCAAATCCTGCAGTATACCGAAATCTGCACGTTGAAATCCATGTTGTTTACGAACCGGATGTCTAGTTCGTTACGCGATTTTGATTGGACTATGCAGAGACTCGTTAGTCCAGCCAAACTGTAACCCAAGAATACCAGCCTAGTTCGGCAAGGGTGGAAACTGGACTTTCATAGTCAGTTCACGCCCTTGCCTCGGGAAGATGAATCCCTATCCACCAAAGCGACAAGATGGCAGTTCCTCTTGGAATGTATTCACTGTCTACGTTGTTGAAGAAAACATGAATTACCTGTGGGTCTTCCAGTCACCAAGATGAAGTCGGCGATGGGCACATCACCTGACAAAACAACAATTCATATCAGTTCAACTTGCTTATGATGTGGTCGAAATCGGACATGCATATGTTCATCTGCATGTCGTTTTACGCCGTGACACAATATTCCAGCTACATCACCGTACTCTAGTACTGGGTCAGTGGTTTTTGTAATGAGCAACGTCCTCTCGCCGTTTGGGTTCAACGGAACGCAATCAAATCAGTCGTCGAAACCAACCACATGTACAAGATGCAAATTTGTTGCTATTTGCATACAAAGGGGTGCTTGGGATTTATTCTAAGTCAGGTTCAACGTGGGTGTCTGGTTACAATAAATTACCATCAAGGACCCAACATGGTCACATGAACTGTAACACACACAAAGTACTGTTTCACATACACCCTAACTTAACCACACAGCAGACTTACTTGCAGGTGTTTTCAGTAAAAGCAGCTTGGGCTTATCCGACAGCGAGGGACAACGGTCTGGGGAGAACATCCTAATAAGGTCTTGTACGTTCACGAAAAGATTGTCAGTTCCTCAAATGGCACCCTCTCCGCCACGAGTAAGAATTGCCATTCCGAAAATGTCGTAGTTACTGTGATTCATTCTAGCGTATCTGTCCACAGTGGACGATATCTCCTGTAAGTATATAACCACATCCATAGTGTCTCATCCTCCATGTTCCAAAAAACGTCTCCCAAAAGGATATTTTATGATCCTATTCGCCCGCTTTAAAAATCATATCACTCCACCCTCTTAAAAAAGTAACGAACTGCTCATATCCAATATACAAAAAAAACATTCCGCTGTGTAAGGATATTCAACGTTATTTCGTTTTTCAACTCTTCGCTTTTCCCGCCAATGTCATGAGCTTCTAGGCAAATGTTCTTCAAGAAAACGTTAAGAAATTATAACCTATTTTGAACTCGTGGCGTTAAGCCTCAAAACGAAAACCGAGTTTATAGGTTGGATTCTCAAACAAAGTCACTATACTACGTTTTGATATCAAAATACACAATTTTAAAGTTTGTTAGAAGGAGATGATTTCATGTCACTACAACAGATAACCTACACAATTTACTATGGTGGAAAATGAACATCACAAGGCCGAATTATCGAAATTGCATTTTTGGGGTATTTTTGAAACAACAAAATCTGGTCTAATATCTAAGCTGCAACGACGAAGAAATTGTTTACAAATTCAACCTACTTGTGAAGTGAGATTGTTATGAATCTGCACATCAAAGCCAATATTTGTGAAAAGCGAGTTCAGTGTTTCAGTGCCAATGCAGGTACCATTCCGGACCTGGTCGTGAAACGTAAAGTTGTTGATGATCACAAAAATACCCTTTTTCCGTGTCCGCATTCTATATCTCTGAAATTGAGCGAAATGGGGTAGAATTTCAAAGACTGAGACGTACGAAAATGTAAACAATAATTTGATATTGCTTCAACAAAATTCTGACATTAAGTTGCAAGAACCCATTTGGAAAGAATATTTATCTTATTAAAATAATAGCCACAAACCCTTTTAATGTTCATAAGAAATCTCTGCCAAAAGCAGAAGCCGACTGAACTATTTCAACTATATCATGAGCATGTGCTTGTGAATCACAGTCCAAAAGTGATGATACCAGTTGTTCGTGAAAAGGTGAACACGTCCTGCCCCACTGGTGGTACCCGTCACAAACACATGCAAAGGCAAGTCAATTGTTCACCTGAACAGACACGGGAACATATGATACAAGTGAAAATAGGGAATTGCTTCAGATATTATTTTTGTCACTGATGTCCATATTTCCCAACTTCGTTCCACTATTTTTAAAACTGGGACAACTTTATGTATTGTGTGTTGTTTTACGCCGCACTCAGCAATATTCAAGCTATATGACGGCGGTCTGTAAATAATCGAGTATGGACCAGACAATCCAGTGATTGATATCAGGAGCATCGATCTACGTAGTTGGGATACGATGACATGCATCAACCAAATCAGCGAGCCTGACTACACGATCCCGCTTGTCGCCCCTGACGACAAGCATGCCTTGGGTTGATGAAGACTCATTCTAACCCGGATCTTCACGGGTAGCTTTCGATGTTCTGATATATATAATCAGTCGTGTAATATTGCTACATATCATATTCACTGTTTGTTGGACCCGTGAAGATCCGGGGTAGAATAGGTCTTCAGCAACCAATGCTTGCCGTAAAAGGCGACTATGCTTGTCGTAAAAGGCGACTAACGGGATCGGGTGGTCAGGCTCGCTGACTTTGTTGATGCATGCCAATTGCGTGGATCGATGCGCAGGATGTCAATCACTGGATTGTCTGGTCCAGAGTCGATTATTTACAGACCGCCGTCATATAGATGGAATATTGCTGAGCGCGGCGTAAAACATCAAACCAACCACTGTTTGTTGTATATCCCAATAATAGTTAATATGACATTACTCACGTCTGCTACTTGATATCTATAACGTTGGACAGCTGTAGCTGCAGCTGCCACAACTGCTACAACTGCTGCACCACCATTAATGATGACGACCCCCCTCAACATTGTGCAACTTTGTGATTGGTTGTCTTTTGTCGTCGTTGTTTTTAGACTGCAACTTGAAAAAATCTAACTAAGGCTATATGGTTAATGGTATCGTTCCAAAACGTGCCACTTTTTTGCAATATTTCAGCAATATTCCATCGGGGAACACCACAAATGGGCTTCACACATTGTACCCGTGTGGGGAATCGAACCCGGACTTTCGGCGTGACGAGCGAACGTTTCACCAACTGGGTCACACCAGATCCTCTCCAACGACTCTGACGATCGTAACCCCAATGGCACTGATTTATGATAGTCGAAGCGCTTTGTGAAGCGTTTTCATGACCGATAAGCCTATTTGAAAACACACCGTCGACCTGTGTGAGAGAATCGTTTTAACGCCGCTTTGAAATGTATTTCAGTAATATACTCTCAAATCACTGTAGGAGATATTCGAAAACGAAATATGATTACAGAAATATCGTGTAATGGATGGATACGAACAAGGAAGGACTAGGTGTAACATGGCCATCTTCAGAACATTTCATGTTCCCCAACCTTACTTTGTGGTGGTGAATATCACAGGGATGAGTGAGTGAGTGAGTTGGGTTTGACGCCGCTTTTAACAGTATTCCAGTTATATCACGGGGTGTCAGCTTAATGTGGGAGGAAAGCCCGAAGTGATGCAGGTCTCAGACGTTTACCACTTCGGTGAAACCCACGAGCAGGGAGGGGTATGGTGCTGACAAACCTAGAAACATAATCGGGGCGAACCGGGATTCGAACCTACAATCATAGTTTTCTGGCGTGCCCAAGGGACGCAACTCTGCACAGCGAATCGCGGCGCCTTAGACGACTGGGTCACAGAACGTATGTCACAGCGCAGGACGCATAAGTCGGAAACACCACAGCGCAATACGCATTCATTCTGAAGTTATCACTATGTGATTATTATACAATACTTTGTCTACATTGTCTAAAACTAATTTGCTTGATTCCATAGGTGAAACCGGATATCCGAACATTACGGACATTGCATTGGGCAACAGTTGTGCATGAAAATGTTCTGTTGTGTTGTGGAATGGTGTGATGTGGTGTGTGGTGTGGTTTAGTGTGTTGTGTTTTGGTGTGGTTTGGAATGTGGTGTGGAGTGGTGTGTGTTGTGTTGTGGTGTGTTATGTTGTGTTATGTTGTGGTGTGGTGAGGACTGGTGGGGAGAGTTGTTGTGTTTTGTGGTGTGTTGTTTTGGTGTGCGTTGTATTGTGGTGTGGTTTGGTGTGTGTTGTGTTGTGGAGTGGTGTTGTATTTTGTTCTGGTGTTGTGTGTTGTGGTGTTGTGTGTTGTGGTGTTGTGTGTTGTGGTGTTGTGTTGTTGGTGAGGGTTGTGATGTGTTGTGGTTTGGTGTGTGTTGTGTTGTGGCCTGGAGTGATGTTGTGATGTGTTCTGGTGGTGTGTTGTGTTGTGTGTGTTGTGTTGTAGCCTGGAGTGGTGTTGTGGTGTGGAGCGGAGTGATGTTGTGTTGTGTTCGTGTTGGTGTGGTGTGGTGTGGTGTGGTGTGGTGTGGTGTGGTTTGGTGTGGTATGGTTTGGTGTGTGTTGTGATTTGGTGTGTGTTGTGTGTTGTTGTGATGTGTTCTGGAGGATTGTATTGTGTGTTGTGTTGTGTTGTGTTGGTGTGCGTTGTATTGTGTTGTGTGTTGTGTTTTGAAGTGGTGTTGTGTTGTGTTCTGGTGTGGAGTGGTATTGTGTTGTGTTGGTGTGGTTTTGGTTGGGTTGTGGTGTGGTTTGGTGTGTGTTGTGTTGTGGCCTGGAGTGGTATGTGTTGTGATGTGGTGTCGAGTGATGTTGTGTTGTGTTCGTGTTGGTGTTGTGTAGTGTGGTGTGGTGTGGTGTGGTGTGGTGTGGTGTGGTGTGGTGTGATGTGGTGTGTGTTTTGGTGTGTTGTTGAGTGGTGTGGTATGGTATGGTGTGGTGTGGAGTGGTGTTGTGTCCTGTTCTGGTGTTGTGTGTTGTGTTGTTGAATGGTGTTTGATGGTGTGTGTTGTGCTGTGATATGGTGTGGTATGTTGGGTGGTGTGGTGTGTTATGTTGTGGAGTGGTGTGGTGTGGACTGGTGTGGAGAGTTCCTGTGTTGTGTTCGTGTTGGTGTTGTGTGGTGTGGTTTGGTGTGGTGTGGTTGGGTGCGTGTTGTGTTGTGGAGTTGTATTGTGTGTGTTGTATTGTGTTGTGGTTTGGTGTGTGTTGTGTTGTGTTGTTGAGTGGTGCAGTATGGTATGTTTTGTATTGTGGCATGGTGTGTTTTGATGTGTTGTGGCATGGTGTGATATGTTGTGTTCTGGAGTGGTGTGGAGAGGTGTTGTGTTGTGTTGGTGTGTGTTGGGTTGGGTTGTTGTGTGGTGTGTTGTTGTGTGTTGTGGTGTGGTTTGGTGAGTGTTATGGTGAGGTCTGGGATGATGTTGTGGAGTAGTGTTGTATGGCGTGTGGTGCGGAGTGGTGTTGTGTTGTATGGTGTGTGTTGTGATGTGGTATGGTGTTGTGTTGTGTGTCTTGTGTTGGCATTTGTTGTAATGTGGTGTGTGTTTTGGTGTGTTGTGTTATGGAGTGGTGTAGTATGGTGTTGTGTTGTGGTGTGTTAGTGTGCGTTGCGTTGGCGTGTGTTGTGATGTGGTGGTTTTTTATGTATTGTGTTTTGGTGTATTGTGTTGTGGAGTGGTGTTGTATGGTGTGTGTTGTGATGTGGTATGGTGTTGTGTTGTATGTCTTGTGTTGGCGTGTGTTGTGATGTGGTGGGTTTTTATGTGTTGTGGAGTGGTGTTGTGTTCGTGTGTGTTGTGTTTGCGTGTGTTGTGGTGTGGTGTGTGTTTTGGTGTATTGTGTTGTGGAGTGGTGTTGTATGGTGTGTCTTGTGATGTGGTATGGTGTTGTGTTTTATGTCTTGTGTTGGCGTGTGTTGTGGTGTGGTGGGTTTTTTATGTGTTGTTGAGTGGTGTGGTGTTGTGTTCGTGTGTGTTGTGTTGGCGTGTGTTTTGGTGTATTGTGTTGTGTTATGGTGTGGTCTGGAGTGGTGTTGTTGTGTGCTGTGGCCTGAGGTGATGTTGTGATGTGTTCTAGTGGTGTGTGGTATGGTGTGGTGTGGTGTTGCGTTCGTGTGTGTTGTGTTGGCGTGTGTTTTGGTGTATTGTGTTGTGTTATGGTGTGATCTGGAGTGATGTTGTTGTGTGCTGTGGTGTGGTTTGTTGTGTGTTGTGTGTTGTGTTGTGGCCTGGGGTGATGTTGTGATGTGTTCTAGTGGTGTGTGGTATGGTGTGGTGTGGTGTTGCGTTGGTGTGTGTTGTTTTGGTGTGTGTTGTGATGTGGTGTGTGTTTTGTTGTGTTGTGTTGTGGAGTGGTGTTGTATGGTGTGTGTTGTGTCTTGTGTTGGCGTGTGTTGTGATGTGGTGTGTGTTTTGGTGTGTTGTGTTTTGTTGTGGAGTGGTGTGGTGTGGTGTTGTGTCGGTGTGTGTTGTGTTAGCGTGTGTTGTGATGTGGTGTGTGTTTTTTGTACGTTGTGTTGTGGAGTGGTGTGGTATGGTGTGTGTTGTGATGTGGTATGGTGCGGTGTGTTGTGATGTGTTGTGTTGTAGGTTTGGTGTATTCATTTGAATACAGTCATTAACCAGAAGATGTGAACTCTTACCTTTTAATATCATGATCCTAGTCATTTGAGTGTGAGGTTCTCGTCACCAACAGTAAAAGTAACAATATGTTCACTTGACATTCAGGAAGTTCCGTTTGAGGTCAACTGATACATAATTTATTGATCTATGAGGAAACTCAATTTCAATGAAGAACAGTCTGAATGGAAAGCAGTTGTATACATACTCCTATTGCAATATTATTGATAATAGTTTTAGAATTATTTTCATTATGCTGATAGAAAGTGTAATTTTCCACATCATTTGAACTGATATGCTTATTTAAAAAACTACAAGCAATAAATAGCCATAGACATAATATTGATGTTGAAAACAGACAGGGAACAGAGTTGCAATTTTGTTTGTAACCATTACAAGGATGTAGTATCAAAATCACGTGACCAATATGTGTAAACGTGCCCGGGAAAGTTGATCAAGGGCAGATAACTCCAGTGTTCTTATTCACCATCACTACTGTACGAGGGTGAAGTACATAGCTGGATATGTTGACCAAGGAAAGAGAACTCCAGTGTTCTTATTTACCACCCCTTCAGTACGAGGATGAAGTACATGGATGGACATGTTAATGAAGGATAGAGAACTCCATTGATCTTATTCACCATCACTACAGTATGAGGATGAAGTACATAGCTGGATATGTTGATGAAGGACAGAGAACTCCAGTGTTCTTATTCACCATCACTACAGTACGAGGATGAAGTACATGGATGGATATGTTGATGAAGGACAGAGAACTCTAGTGTTCTTATTACCAACACTACAGTACGAGGATGAAGTACATAGCTGGATATGTTGATGAAGGATATAGAACTCTAGTGTTCTTATTTACCACCCCTACAGTACGAGGATGTAGTTCATGGATGGCTATGTTGATGAAGGATAGAGAACTCTAGTGTTCTTATGCACCAACACTACAGTACGAGGATGAAGTACATGGATGGACATGTTGATGAAGGATAGAGAACTCTAGTGTTCTTATGCACCAACACTACAGTACGAGGATGAAGTACATGGATTGATGTGTGGATGAAGGATAGAGAACTCTAGTGTTCTTATTCACCATCACTACAGTACAAAAATGAAGTACATGGATGGACATGTTAATGAAGGACAGAAAACTCCATTGTTCTTATTCACCATCACTACAGTACGAGGATGAAGTACGTGGATGGATATGTTGATGAAGGATAGAGAACTCTAGTGTTCTTATTCACCATCACTACAGTACAAGGATGAATTACGTGGATGGATATGTTGATGATGTGCGAGACTGGTTGTTCTCTAGCGTTTTGACAAGGGAGGTGGCACAAAATCCCTGTCAATGAACGAACGTGTAAACTCTGCGACATGAGCGATGTTGGTGATGAATTCCATTATATTTTTGTTTGTCCTTTTTTTGAAATCCAACGGAAAATATATGTTCCAATTTCATATGCTAAAACCCAAATATGTTTAAATTTAATGAACTTTTTAACTGTAAAAAAATAAATGTTATTAAGAAATTCTGTACATTCTGTAATGTCATTATGAAAACTGTAATGTAATTCAACATCTTTCATGCAAACCATCCCGCCATCTCAGCTATATACTGTTTGCACATTTGTACCTCATGCGCCGAGCATCCCGGCCTGAGCGTAAATAAAGTTCTGTTCTGTTCTGACTGTAACCAATGCTTTGTGCTAGACCAACATACCTGACTCTTGTTTTCCGAAGGTCTTCAGCAAATAAACCCTATATAAACACTTTTGTTAGTCCTTTGGAAGTCCTGAGTAAGTTCGGGCAAATCTAATGTAAATACTTTATGTATGTGACGCTGTTCGATTAGGTGAGCAGGGAAACGCCCACGTCACACATACGAGGGCTGGCTGAAAAGTTCTAAGCCTAACTGTGAACCCGTACCACGTCGATGGTCTTCATTTATTTCTCCACATAGTCCCCTTCCAGGTTTACACACTTTTGCCAGCGATGCTGAAAGGCCTGGATGCCGGTCAAGAAGAAATTTTCTTCAGCCACCCTAAAAAAGTCATTCACAGCGGAAATGACGTCATCATTACTAGGGAAATGGCGACCGGCTAGTTCCTTTTTCATTTTGGGAAACAGGTGGAAGTCTGACGGGGCCAAATCGGGTGAATAAGGGGGTTGGACAATGAGTTCGAAGCCACAATCATGGATCGCTGACATGGCAACCACCGATTTGTGAACAGGATCATTGACTTGGTGGAACAGGACTCCTTTAGTGAGCATTCCCCGTCGCTTAGCTTTGATAGCTTCACGCAACTGTCTCAGTAGGTCAGCATAATATCTTCCATTGAGAGTCTTTTTCAAGATAGTCAATCAGCAGAATACCCTTGGAATCCCAAAAGACTGAAGCCATCACCTTTCCAGCAGAAGGAACCGACTTGGCTTTTAGGAGGGCTGGTGATTCCGGATGCTTCCATTGTTTAGACTGAATTTTGGTTTCTTGTTGAAAGTGATGAATCCAGGTCTCATCCATGGTTACAAATTGGGATCTGCTTCAAAACGGCATAAAGTGTCACGGGACGTCAGGAATCCGACACGTTTCTGATCCGCGGTTAAGAGCTTTGGCACCCATCTTGCAGAAACTTTTGTCATTCCCAACTCGTTGGTGATAATGTGCTCAACCCTCTCATGAGAGATGCCCACAACACTGGCAATATGTCGAGTGGTCAATCGTCGATCAGCCATCACCATGTCATGCACCCGGGTAATGTTTTCCGGAATGGTTGCTGTTGAAGGCCTTGTTGGACGCGGGTCATCGTCAAGGCTCTCTCTGCCACGCTTGAATTCCGCAGCCCACTTCTTTACTGTGGAAAAGAAAGGGGCATCATCCCCTAAAGTGGAGACCATGTCAGCATGTATCTGTGTTGGAGTTAGTCGTTTCAGTTGCAGGTACTTGATGACTGCCCTATAGCCAGTTTTGTCCATTTCTGGTGATTTCAATGGGTAGGTTCACAAGATGGTCTGTTACAATGCAATACTAACACTACAGTTGCAGTTCTTATGTCTATGATTCATTAAATGATTGTACTTGTTGGTGGCAAAAGTTTGTTTCAATCCGAGATATCCCACTTAGGCTTAGAACTTTTCAGCCAGCCCTCGTATCACCCTGAAGGACGTTTTTGTATGGGGTATAGATGGAGGGACATAGTGTACACATCTACCTGAAGGACGTTGGTGTATGGGGTATAGATGGAGGGATGTAGTGTACATATCACCCTGAAGGATGAAGGGTGAAGGGGGTATATATGGAGGGATGTAGTGTACATATCACCCTGAAGGATGGAGGGTGAAGAGGTATATATGGAGGGACGTAGTGTACATATCACCCTGAAGGACGGAGGGTGAAGGGGCTATATATGGAGGGGCGTAGTGTACATATCACCCTGGCGGACGTTGGTGTGTGCGGTATATATGGAGGGGCGTAGTGTACATATCACCCTGAACGACAAGGGTGAAGGGCGTATATATGAAGGGACGTAGTGTACATATCACCCTGAAGGATGGAGAGTGAAGAGGTATATATGGAGGGACGTAGTGTACATATCACCCTGAAGAACGGATGTTTAAGGGGGTATATATGGAGGGACGTAGTGTACATATCACCCTGAAGGACGGAGGTTGAAGGGGGTATATATTGAGGGGCGTAGTGTACATGTCACCCTGAAGGACGTTAGTGTATGGGTATATATGGAGGGGCGTAGTGTACATATCACCCTGAAGGACGAAGGGTGAAGGGAGTATATATGGAGGGACGTGGTGTACATATCACCCTGAAGGACGGAGGGTGAAGGGGGTATATATGGAGGGACGTAGTGTACATATCACCCTGAAGGACGAAGGCTGAAGGGGGTATATATGGAGGGACGTGGTGTACATATCACCCTGAAGGACGGAGGGTGAAGGGGGTATATATGGAGGGACGTAGTGTACATATCACCTTGAAGAACGGATGTTGAAGGGGGTATATATGGAGGGACGTAGTGTACATATCACCCTGAAGGACGGAGGGTGAAGGGGCTATATATGGAGGGGCGTAGTGTACATCTCACCCTGAGGACGGAGGGTGAAGGGGGTATATATGGAGGGACGTAGTGTACATATCACCCTAAAGAACGGATGGTGAAGGGGGAATATATGGAGGGACGTAGCGTACATATCACTCTGAAGGACGGAGGTTGAAGGGGGTATATATGGAGGGACGTAGTGTACATATCACTCTGAAGGACGGAGGTTGAAGGGGGTATATATGGAGGAGCGTAGTGTAGATATCACCCTGAAGGACGGATGGTGAAGGGGGTATATTTGGAGGGACGTAGTGTACATATCACCCTGAAGGATGGAGGGTGAAGGGGCTATATATGGAGGGACGTAGTGTACATATCACCCTGAAGAACGGATGGTGAAGGGGTATATATGGAGGAACGTAGTGTACATATCACCCTGAAGGACGGAGGTTGAAGGGGGTATATATGGAGGGGCGTAGTGTACATAGGGCGTCCGTGTCATACGCTGCTTCGAACAATGTAGCGTGTCACCATAAAGAAAGACGTGTTGTGGTCTGGTGATCCAGTGCCACTGGACGTATCTCTGTAAAGAGGACTGAGCCACCCGCGACCTCCCCACTTCCCCTCCACCCACCCCTTTCCAACTCATTTCTCCCTAACATCGACCCCGATGTGTCATAGTTATATGCACAAACACCCACGTCTTTCCCAGAGTGGCTGCTGGATTACAGAAGATAAAACACAGATGATAGGAAACAACGTAATCTTCCTGTTAGGTGTCAGGGTGACACTAGGCTTCACTTAAACGACACGTGCACAGATACTGGATACCTACTCACAACCACCTGTGGGTAAAGGTTGACTCAGGCCAAATCCATACACATAATGTGTTTCCTAAATCTTTCTTCCTCATTAGATCTGACCAATTTTACATCAACGCGCTTCCGTAGATTCTCCATAGTTTACCAATACTCAGTTAGTCATGAGGTTCATAGGTTCCTTTTAGAAAACACCCGGAGCCTTCTTTCTTAAATCTGTCTTCAGCCTTATATTGGGTTCCATCCAAGGGATTGAACCAAACTTAAGAACTCAGTGTATTTTCTTTAGCTTCATTCCCAATGATAGATATACCTGGAGATTTCTATAGTGGACTATATATTTTGTCTTTTCCATCAAATTTGGTACGAGTTTTTCTACATTAGCTAACCTTGTCTTTCCCATCAAGTTGTGTTGATATTCTGACATCCAATCTCTGTTTCCCATTAATCTTTCAGGACCTAGCGGATGGGGGTATGCTAAGTCAACTTCTGGTATGTACCCTCATCAGAATCTTTGGGAATATTATTCACATCGTCATTGTCTACCTACTCAAAACCACCTGCAAAACTACAGCAAATCCATACACATTGTTGATATGATATGAGTGTATTAGGTTTACTCGGATCATATCCTTCTACTAATTTATTATAGGCCTTTGAATATATTTTGCTGCCATTGATATACCACATCTTAATCCTTTCTCAACAAACTAGTGCATATCATAATCAGTGAGTAGTTTTAGTTCTACATTAGTCTTCTTCAGCAATGCATCCCACGAGAGTCCGGGACTGGAATACAGTAAAGTACGGTTATAACGAACTCAAAGGGACTACTTATTTTAGTTCGTTATAACCGTAGTTCGTTATAAGCATATACACAGAATAACTACAGCAAATAGTCGGGACCAAAAAGTAAGTTCGTTATATCCGTCAGTTCGTTATAAGCGTGTTCGTTATAACCGTAGTTATAGTTTGAGTACCATGCTGAATCAAAGCCATATTGATTTAAACAGGTCTTTCTAAATATCTCAAATATATCGGTGAGTTATTGTACATTAGTTTTTAATTATAGAGAATGATAAATTCTTATAACGTGTTTTTTTACCCACACATAAAGAACATGTTTATAATCAGCATCAGTTATTTTAGATTCTGTTAAGTCACATTGTATAGGATAAAACACGGTTCCTCAGCTTTGGTTGAAAATGTAAAACCGCGAACGAGGAAAAAGCCCGAGTTTAAGGTTTTACATTTTCAACCCAAACTGAGGAACCGTGTTTTATCCAACTTATGAACCGTCTAAATGAAAATAATACCAGAAAAAATACGAAAACATCGACATACCTTACAGTGAAAAATCTTCCCGTTTTATTACGATATAGATCGTGATTATCGATCAGATCGTCTTGACTGTGCGCCGCCATTTTGTTGGAATCTGATTGGTCAAAAGGACGGACATAGAAGGGACATAACTCGTAATAGCCACTGGTGGTGCTAAGATTGAGCATGGAAATTCCAGCCTAGTTCGGCAAGGGTGGGAACTTGACTTTTAAAGCCAGTTAAGTCCCGTGCCTCGGGATCATGGTGAGCGTGTGAGCGACTTAAATGCCTATTTGCACAATTTGTAAGGGAAATCGAACTAAGGACTTTCTCGTGACGAGACTGGGCTACCGTATTGACCATAATTACTTTGGGGAATACAAGTATTTGTAATACTCATGAAACAAATACTGTTATTTAATTCAAAAATTGAAAACTAAGTCCAGAATAGAGAGGTGGTGGGGTAGCCTAGTGGTTAAAGTGTTCGCTCGTCACGCTGAAGACCCAGGTTCGATTACCCACATGGGTACAATGTGTGAAGCCCACTTCTGGTGTCCCTTGCTGGAATATTGCTAAAAGCGGCGTAAAACTATACTCACTCACTCACTCACTCACTCACTCACTCAATATTAAAGGAATAAGTAAAACCAACAAAAAATGTTTTGTGATAATACAAATGTATTAAAAATAATTCCCTTCCAATCATAATGACAAAACTGTTGTCGATTAATGTCATAATACATAGAGAATCTCACCCGAGTGTCTTTTTGATATCACATATATGGACGAGTGTTGATATAGTTGATATCAAAAGATACTCCATCGAGATTTTATTTGTCATCCAACATCATTTGTCCAACTTTTTCAGTGTGTAGACTGTAATAAGTAATAAGTGTAAAACATACTGCTTACAGCTTCAGTAGCAGAGCCATGAGTGTTGTCATTTGAATCTGACGTCATGGTAACCAATGACGTCACAATGGTCTCCAAAGCATCGTGATGCAATTTCATTGCAGCGATATCTACAATGTGAATATTGCTTGATGTCACCCAAACGATATCTCTTGTGGGAACCTTGCAACGTATTAATCACATTAAATCTTGGCTAAAAGGCAACACGAGACTATAGTACAGAGGATGCGGTAGGTTATCTGCATCTCGTGATCAGTTGATGAAGACAAGGGTTGTAATGACACTTCAGTACATAAAGCATACTTCATTAACCATACTGTTTAACTGACAACTAATCATACGCATACTCTTGTGTGATATCATCAACGCATCATATACACATCTGCAAATCTGAATGCACTTTACAAAAACATGAGAAACTGCCTGTTACCATTACTCAGACGAACATGAACAGACAAGAATACGCACACATACACGCACCCGCATCAGAGAAACTGGTTTTAATTTGAAAGCAACATAGATTGAGTACATGAAATAATATTTTGACACGCAGCAGACATATTACAAATAGAAGTATTCCACTTATTAACAGGGATTATATCAATTTTGTATTAACAGTTTATATATTGAAATTGTAATCCAGTTATTAGTTATTACTCTAGATACACTTTTTGGATAAGATTCTTGAGTCGAAGCCTCAATCAGGTGTCACGTGTCATCTTCATTTGAGAAACAGTGTTAAGACCAGGGACAGGTGGATAGTAAGTAGAATGCTGTCGCGACCGCATCAACCAGACGCCTTGTCGTCGTCGAAACCTTTGTCCAAGCTGTACTTCCGTCCAAACAGAGTCGCAGACAACAACGGAAGATCCAGGGGATTCTTTGTGACGAGACTTCCGTTCTTGAAACTCAACTGCGTCTGCGCTAAAGCGAGACTTCCGTTGTCTGACATCAGCACTTCCGGGAAGATGTAGGTAGTGTTGAATGTGCCACGGATGTCAATGTTGGAGAAGATGGAGCTGGCATCAAGTGTTGGTGTACCACAACTTGAATGGGATGAATTGGCACATTTAAGCATTGTACATATTTGAAGGTAATATTTCTTCTCGTGCCAGTGCGTGTGAAGACCATCAAATGCGCCGAGAGCATACATGTCACCTTCATTAAGGTTGGCCGTGTACGTAGCGTGACAACAGAGAGCGTTGTGGCAGACCTTGATTTCGTCAGCGTGAGGATCTCGGAGGGATACAAAGTTAAACAGATCATTGAAAAGGTAGGACTGAAACTCAAACTGAACCGCGCTGAGCATCTTCGAGTCTGGTTTGGGTTGGTCCTCAACAGGAGGACGTGAAGGTTTATCGTTAACCTCGATGTCTGCAATAAGGAGTTTCCCGCCTCCAGTCCCGAGGGTGTCATTGTAGTAGTATACCGCAGCGCCATCTGGCGTGTAAATACCACTGCCGTGAAACCTGTGCCCGGGCCGATGGATGTTTGCGGCCAAGAAGTTCACGCCCATCCCCATGGCGAATCCTGAGTGGAATTGAATCGCGGCCAGGAGGGGAAGGGTGTCGATCCACGCTGTAGGGAACACGATGTTGCCCACACTGAGGTCTTCAATGAGAGATATTGCTGGCTTCTCAAACAAAATGTCAAAGCAGGTGAAGACGCCAAATCTGCCAAACGGCGTCTCAAACACGACGTTCTCTGCTTCAGTTGGTTTGTCAAACTGGGATTCAAAGAAGAGATGGTGTTTGCGGTACCTCGCGATGAGTGTACCGTTCGGGTCGAACACAATGTCCGTGTTGTATTGGTAGTGGCCATCGGGAGGGCAGTTGGGGTCGTTTTTTACAGAGCAGGGTTGTATATCGCCGTAGTTGGCTACCAGGTAGAGCGAGTTGTTACGGGCCATGCAGCTCAGACGTCGTTGGACGTCGACGTTGGGTATGTCTGCGGGGGCGGTACACGGGTTCCATGTCACGTTCCTTGGGTCTGGGATTGTTTCCATATGCGGTGTTATTGTTCTTCTTGAAACCCGCATGCCGTATATTCCATCTTCGGGTGTGACCAGAATATCAACACTCTGAAAGGAATAGAATCTGGTACAATTTCATATTAATAGCGATCACAATCAAATGTCATCATTAAATAGAATATTAACAGGTAGGTTTTTTCTTTCAATTTATGTGATTGACACTGTAGTGCTTAGTTGGTATAACAACAGGATTGTTCGCCACGAAAAGATAACGCTGCATATTACAGATGTGTATATTATTATCAGTGTATAGCTCTACAGTGACACTGTCACATGTTGGTCGGTGTCACCTGTAGTGTGTACCCTATCACTGTGTTGATTCAATTTCCCAACATGGAACGTAATAGGTGAGGTGAAATTGGGTTTAACGTCGCGTCCAAGATTATTGCACTGATATAGCGACGTGCATGTACGTGTGTGTATTTGTGTGACTGCTTTTACTAGTCCGGACTGATGCCGCTTTATAGTGCTAGCTCACTGAGATACCAGACGACCTGATCGATAATCAATATCTATATTGTGATAAAACGGGTTTTACCTCGCGAAGTGCATCAAATCACGTGAGCACCTTGATTTAAAACGTGACAAGACTTGGAAAATATCTGTTGACGACGAGTTGGCGGTGCACAGGCAGGGTAGCAACAAGCGCCATCTTTTAACGTCTTTTGGTATGACGCGGCCGGGGATCGAACCACTGACCTTCGGCTCTCGTGGCAGGCGCTCTATCCATTTTACTACGAGACACAAATATCACCACCCATGCTGTACATGTACGTCTACATTATAAAGGAAATATTTCATGACAAGTCAAATACATAAATTTAGCCCCGAAGTGTCCTACCTTTGAACGAGCGATTGCAGCTTGGCGTTCGAATTCGGCCAGATTAGGCTCGACATTCGCCAGTGCTTGTTGCCTGGATACGGCTAAAGTTATGTTGGGAAGGTGCAGTGCATGTTCAAGAACTGCAGCTCGAAACGTCCTTGATTCTCCCGACTCCACACACAGCAACATCGTCAGCGTGATGTATATCCACGTCGAAGCCATGACTACAGGTTGTCAAATGGACGTTCTAATAACCGATTCCGAAATTCGTGCTATTACCTGACATGCGCGTGACGACAAATACTTTCTAGAACATAAAAGCGGCGTCTCGTGGAGGAAGACGCTATTCCTGGGTCACCAAGGAGTGGTTGCTGTTACGTAATCATTACCTGTCCAAGATAAGGGTGTGGTGGGAGCTGTGTCAGCCGAGAAACAGCAAATTGTTGGAACAATAATTAGATATAAGATTAGATATTAGATTATGTCAGTGTTTAGACGATCCCTTGGTCGTTATGAAATATTATATATATATATATATATATATATATATATATATATATATATATATATATATATATATATATGTGTGTGTGTGTGTGTGTGTGTGTGTGTGTGTGTGTGTGTGTGTGTGTGTGTGTGTGTCTGTGTCTGTGAGTGTGAGTGTGAGTGTGTATGTGTGATTGTTGTTCAATGCCGCACTCAGCAATATTCCAGCGAAATGACCAGACAATCCAGTGACTGACATCCTGAGCATCGATCTACGTGTACATGTGTAGTGTGAGTGTGTGTGTGTGTGTTAATGTTTATGTGTATGTGAGTGGTGTGATATAAGCATGGTAACAGGAGCGATATACCGGTAAGTGGACCCTGTGAGAGTGATATATACATTATAGGCGGTGATATGGAAATATATTTTTTATCCCACTGATATAAAGGTGATATTTTATATATTTGAGATGCTGATATATAAGTGCTATAAACCTTACAGGAGTCGATATAGAATATATATAAGCATGTGTGGAGGTGACATATACATCTTAGGAGGAGACATAAAGGTTATATATACATGGAATGATGAGATATTGAAATGATGTATACCTTTTAGGAGGAGACATAAAGGTTATAAATACATGGAATGAGGTGATATTGAAGTGGTGCATTCACTTCAGGAGGAGACATATGCATAAAGATTATATGTACATCGAATGAGGTGATATTGAAGTGATTAATGCATTTTAGGGGGAGACATAAAGGTTATATTTACATGGGATAAGGTGATAATGAAGTAATTTATACATTTGAGGAGATATAAAGGTTATATATACATGGAATGAGGTCATAATGAAGTGGCGAATACATTTTAGGAGGAGACATAAAGGTTATATATACATGGAATGAGGTGATATTGGAGTGATGTATACATTTTAGGAGGAGACATAAAGGTTATATATACATGGAATGAGGTGATATTGAAGTGGTGTATACATTTTAGGAGGAGACGTAAAGGTTAATGGACTATATATTTTGTCTTATCAATCAAATTTGGTATTAGTTTTTCTACATTAGCTAACCTTGTCTTTCCCATCAAGTTGTGTTGATATTCTGACATCCATCTCTGTTAACCATTAATCTTTCAAGACCTAGCGGATAGTGTTTATGTAACTTTTGGGGGCATGCTGAGTCAACTTCTGGTTTTATTACATTATAGATCGTGATTATCGATCAGATCGTCTTGACTGTGCGCCGCCATTTTGTTGGAATCTGATTGGTCAATAGGACGGACATAGAAGGGACATAACTCGTATTAGCCACTGGTGGTGCTAAGATTGAGCATGGAAATTCCAGCCTGGTGCGGCAAGGCCGGGAACTAGACTTTTATAGCCAGTTAAGTCCCGTGCCTCGGGATCATGGTGAGTGCGTGAGTGATTCAAATGCCTATTTGCACAATTTGGAAGGGAAATCGAACAAAGGACTTGCTCATGAGGCGACTGGGCTACCGTGTTGACCATAATAACTTCGGGGAATACAAGTATTTGTAAAACTCATGAAACAAATACTGTTATTTAAGAGGCGGTGGGGTAGCCTAGTTGTTAAAGTGTTCGATCGTCACGCCGAAGACCCGGTTTCGATTCTCCACATGGGTACAATGTGTGAAGCCCACTTCTTGTGTCCCTTGCTGGAATATTGCTAAAAGCGGCGTAAAACTATACTCACTCAATCACTCACTTAATATTAAAGGAATAAGTAAAACCAACAAAAAATGTTTTGTCATTATACAAATGTATTAAAAAGAATTTCCTTCTAATCATAATGACAAAAATGTTGTCGATTAATGTCTTAGACATACAGAATCTCACCTGAGTGTCTTTTGATATCACATATATGAACGAGTATTGATATATTTGATATGAAACGATACTCCATCGAGGTTTTATTTATCATCCAACATCATTTGTCCAATTTTATCAGTGTGTAGACTAATAAGTAATAAGTGTAAAAAATACTGCTTACAGCTTCAGTGGCAGGGCCGTGAGTGTTGTCATTTGAATCTGACGTCATGGTAACCAATGACGTCACAATGGTCTTCAAAGCATCGTGATGCAATTTCATTGCAGCGATATCTACAATGTGGATATCGCTTGACGTCACCTAAGCGATATCTCTTGTGGGAGCAAGTTTTGGATGTTAAAATCACAAATACCCACAACCTTGCAACGTATTAATCACATTTAATCTTGGCTAAAAGGCAAACACGAGACTATAGTACAGAAGGTGCGGTAGGTTATCTACATCTCGTGATCAGTTGATGAAGACAAGGGTTGTAATGACACCTCAGTACATAAAGCATACTTCATTTACCATACTGTTTAACTGCCAACTTATCATACGCATATTCTTGTGCAATATCATCAATGCATAACATAAACATCTGCAAGTCTGAATGCACTTTACAAAAACATGAGAAACTGTCTGGTATCATTTCTCAGACGAACATGAACTGACAAGAATACGCACCCGCATCAGAGAACTTAGTTTTAATTTGAAAGCAACATATATTGAGTAGATGAAATAATTTTGACACACAGAAGACATATTACAAATAGAAGTATTCCACTTATTAACAGGGATGCTATCAATTCTGTATTAACAGTTTACATATTGAAACTGTAATCCAGTTATTACTCTAGATACAGTCCAACCTGTTTGTTACGTCCCTGCTTACAATGCCATGTATTTTACCTAGAACGGATTTCCACAGTGCAAAATTCCCTGATTGTAATGGCACCAAGGTTATAATGCAAATGGGTTATGTTGTCATTTTATTTTTTTGTGACGAAAAATGTTAAATTTAGTCAATCTTTTGGAGATAATTCCCTCTTCTAAATCAACAAACTAATTGCATTGATCTCAGGCGTTTTCATAACTTTGAATTAATTCAATGTTTGAATTAAGTCTGACTGTACTTGCAGTCGAACAAAATATTTCAATTTATGCTGATCATTAGAGCCAAAGGCAAACTTCGACAAACTTTCAAACTACCAATCAGACTGTATCACTCCCATATCAAATGCATTTTATGCAGCAGAAGAATGTTCATTCTAAAAACAAGAAACAAATTCGCTTACATTGTATTTATGATTCGTTAGCAATGAAACAAGTAAAACGTTGTCGGTTTGGTTTACGACAATAGGGAGAGATGAAGCGTTCGATTTTGGAAAAGATTCTTGAATCGAAGCCTCAATCAGGTGTCACGTGTCATCTTCATTTAAGAAACAGTGTTAAGACCAGGGACAGGTAGATAGTAAGTAGAATGCTGTCGCGACCGCAGCAACCAGACGCCTTGTCGTCGTCGAAACCGTTGTCCCAGCTGTACTTCCGTCCAAACAGAGTCGCAGACAACAACGGGAGATCCAGGGGATTCTTTGTGACGAGACTTCCGTTCTTGAAACTCAACTGCGTCTGCGCTAAAGCGAGACTTCCGGTGTCTGACATCAGCACTTCAGGGAAGATGTAGGGTGTGCTGAATGTGCCCCGGATGTCAATGTTGGAGAAGATGGAGCTGGCATCAAATGTTGGTGTACCACAGCTTGAATGGGATGAATTGGCACATTTAAGCATTGTACATATTTGAAGGTGATATTGCCCCTCGTATGTGTGAAGACCATCAAATGCGCCGAGAGCATACATGTCACCTTCATTAAGGTCGGCCGTGTACGTAGCGTGACAACAGAGAGCGTTGTGGCAGACCTTGATTTCGTCAGCGTGAGGATCTCGGAGGGATACAAAGTTAAACAGATCATTGAAAAGGTAGGACTTAAACTCAAACTGATCCACGCTGAGCATCTTTGAGTCTGGTTTGGGTTGGTCCTCAACAGGACGACGTGCAGCTTTATCCATAATATCGATGTCTGCAATAAGGAGTTTACCGCCTCCAGTCCCGATGGTGTCATTGTAGTGGTATACCGCAGCGCCATCTGGCGTGTAAATACCACTGCCGTGAAACCTGTCCCCGGGCCGATGGATGTTTGCAGCCAGGAAGTTCACGCCCATCCCCATGGCGAATGCTGAGTGGAATTGTATCGCGGCCTGGAGGGGAAGGGTGTCGATCCACGCTGTAGGGAACACGATGTTGCCCACACTGAGGTCTTCAATGAGAGATATTGCTGGCTTCTTAAACATAATGTCAAAGCAGGTGATGACGCGAAATCTGCCAAACGGCGTCTCAAACACGACGTTCTCTGCTTCAGTTGGTTTGTCAAACTGGTATTCAAAGAAGAGATGCTTTTTGTGGTACCTCGCGATGAGTGTACCGTTCGGGTCGAACACAATGTCCGTGTTGTATTGGTAGTGGCCATCGGAAGCGCAGTTGGGGTCGTTTCGAACGGAGCAGGGTTGTATATCACCGTAGTTGGCTACCAGGTAGAGCGCGTTGTCACGGGCCATGCAGCTCAGACGTCGTTGGACGTCGACGTTGGGTATGTCTGCGGCGGCTGTACACGGGTTCCACGTCAGGTGCCTTGGATCTGGGATTGTTTCCATATACGGTCTTATTATTGTTCTTTTAAACCGCATGCCGTATATTCCATCTTCGGGTGTGACCAGAATATCAACACTCTGAAAGGAACAGAATATGGTACAATTTCATTTTAATAGAGATCACAATCAAATGTAATTATTAAATAGAATATTAACAGGTATGGTGTTTTTTCAATTTATTTGATTGACACTGTAGTGCTTTGTTAGAATAACAGCAGGATTGATCGCCACGAAAAGATAACGCTGCATATTACAGATGTGTATATTATTATAAGTGTATAGCTTCACAGTGACACTATCACATGTTGGGACAGCTCTAGTGGTAGAGCGTCCGCCCGGAAGGTCCGGGGCTCGATCCCCGGCCGCGTCATACCAAAAGACGTTAAAAGATGGTACTTGATGTTACCCTGTCTGGCGCTCGGGATTAAGGGGCTAAAACAAGGACTGGTTGGCTCGGAGTCAGTATACTGTGTCTGAGTGGGGTATTCATGTTCAACTGCGGCATGGTATCTCAGTGAGCTAGCACTATAAATCGGCATCAGTCCGGACTAGTACAAGCAGCCACACACACACACACACAAACACACACACGTACATGCACGTCGCTATATAAGTGCAATAATCTTGGACGCGACGTTAAACCCCATTTCACCTCACCTATCACATGTTGGTCGGTGTGACCTGAATTTTAGGTCAGCGTATACCCTATCACTGTGTGGATCCAATTTCCCAACATGGAACGCAATACCACTGGTAAACATACTCATAGTTTTTGAAGAGGTTTAACCTCAACTGACTGTTAAACTATCGCTGCTCATATTAAGCAAATATTGATGATACAAGAATGTAAATATGTCATACACTCAACACGTTTTTCATTAGCATACACGTACTGACCAAAGTCCGATCATGACATCCCGGTACAGCTGTTATAGTGAATATATTATGTGCCAAATGAAGGTCGTATTTCTTTGCTTTGTGACCTTCACTGTAATTATATAAAGTTCCCTTATCGCCGAGCTACACAACACGAGAGTTTCCCATCATTTTTTAAACAGAAACAGTCACAAGCTGCACCTTAATAGGCTATATGCAGCCTCAAGTTGAAAGGTCATAACGGTTAACCCTTGAAGATCCAGGTCAGACTAATGGGATCGGTGTTCAGGCTCGCGGACTTGGCTGATGCATGTCATTGTATCCTCATTGCGTGGATCAATGCTCATGATGGCAATTTCTGGATTGTGTGGTTCAGACTTGATTATTTACAGACCGCCGCCATTTAACTGGAATATTGTTGAGTGCGACGTTCAACAACAATCAAACAAACATAACAGGTCTATGGACAATACAAGTTTTGATGCGACAAAATGTAATGAATATACAACAGCTGCCAAAACAATGTAACGCAATTCGTTGTTAGATGTATGGGGTTGTTTTCTCTGGGAGAGAAAATAATTACAATTCGGAGTATTTCTGCTACAAAATACCACTGGTCAATGGCACATGTTACATTTGTTTATCAGCAGTTTAATCGCTACGAAATGATTTTTGTCTATTCAACAATGCTAATAGATAATTAATGTCTACAAAGGTAATGCATCTTTATTATTTAACGAAGGCTTACATTTAAAGTTATTTGTAGGTACAAATCATATTCTTGTAAGTTTGTCTTTATTGTAAGACCGCCTTCGTGGTCTAATGGTAGAGCGTCCGGAGAGTGGTAGGTCCGGGGTTCGATCCCCGTCCGCGTCATACCAAAAGACGTTGAAAGATAGTTCTAACCTTCTGGCGCTCGGCTTTAAGCGGCTAAAACAAGGACTGGTCAGGCCGGAGTCAGTCTACTGTGTCTGAGTGGGGTACTCATGTTTAACTGCGGCACGGTATCTGCGGCACTGGCACTGGTACAAGCAGCCACACACACACACACGTGCATGCACGTCGCTGTGTAAGCGTTATTATCTTGGACGCGACGTTAAACCCCATTTCACCTCACCTTTATCGTAAGTCTCTATTAAATCTTTCGGAAATGATTAAACATACCATCTTATAGACACACTAAGAAATGCTATAATATGATCCTTTATGCAACAACAGAGAAAAAACCTTTTTGGGTAATATATGTAAAGCAATTGTTGTGTTGGTGAGGGTTGTGTTTGGAGTGGACAATGTGTTTCATCTCACTCTTTATTTAGTAGATCTTTTACCCAAAGACTCAAACATGTATATATGCAAAGGTCTCAATCTTTATCTAACAAATGTATCTACAGTAAACTACGGTTATAACAAACGAGTGGCCACGAAGTTTAGTTCGTATTAACCGTTGTTCGTTATAAGCATTTTTACAGAATATACACAACAAAAGGCCGGGTCTAAAAATAGGTTTGTTATATCGATCAGTTCGTTATAAGCGTGTTCGTTATAAACGAAGTTTACTGTGGTACAAATGAGGAAAATCTCTGCCTGTAAACAACACTGTTTATTTTGTATTAATGTAATTTAATTTCAAACTGAATTATCGAGCGTACGTGGCATGAGCGATTTATTGCATCTGGTATATACGCAGACATCCGCTGAGGAGAACGAATCAGATTAAAGATGAGTACCATTTTCTTCTCGATTTTTTATTACCGCTTAATACCACACAGTGTTTTATTCTGCTTGTCTGGGAGTTGGTGTTAAAAATATTATCTTGTTTCTCGGTACCCAGTCAACTGGAGTTCTTACTGTCAAGATTCTGTTGAATCACTCTGGTTCTTTCAGAGGAGTACAGCTTTCTGAATGTCAATTACTAAATGATCGTTGATGATATGTTTTACCCACAAAAAACAGGGGAACATATGATTTGGATGCAACTGTCGTTGAGTTGAACATTTAAAATACCGTGACGTTGCATCTGAACACATCATCTGATCACAATGGATTTTCACATCCTGTGTGAACGACACGTGGTGCACGTGCACCCAAGAGGCAAAGTTTGTGGCCTTGCGGAGAGCTCACAATCATTATAGCAGGTAAGTTAATATCGTAGGCAGTTTGGCAGGGTATAGGTTTTAACAGGGATACTGCAGGCTGACCAGAGATGTATCATATTCGATACGTGGCAGCTTGTCAGTGATTTGACTGGTTAAAATTAGAAGACTTTGGGTTAGTCGGGACTTGACCTTCGGACAGCGGCTAGGCAGGTTGGCTCTCTGACGCAGTCATGATTATTTCCGCGTATACGTCTTTGAGATTAACATTACATATGTCAGGTAAGGTGAAATAGGATTAGTCACTAATTATGAGCGGCTGTTTGTACCAGTCCGGACAAGGCCCACTGAGATACCATGCCCCACTTTAACATGAATACCCCACTCAGACACAGTTTACTGACTCTGAGCCGAGCAGTTCTTGTTTATCCCCTTAATGCCGAGCGCCAGGCAGGGTAACAACAAGTACCATCTTTTAACGAGTAGTATAGGTAATAGGGGTTCTGGACCACTTCCACTGGAGCAGGATTCATATACCTATACTGCTACTACAGGAGGAATTTTTTATGCCAAAATGATGATGCGATTTAATGATAGTCATAAGATTAAGTTAAATTGGCTCTAGCTCACCAATACCTGGGGACCAATCATTGCTTCTATTAGTATAAAAATGATGATGTGATTCAGCGAAAGTCGTTTTAAAAGAAATATCAATATTAATTAATAATGGATAAAATTTACTATAGCCCACGAGGATATTGGAAAGGTGTAGGAGCAATAAAAAAATTAGCCACCACGGCTAAGGTATCTAAAGATGTGGCCAAGGATTGGTTAAAGAAACAAGCGATGTGGCAGATATATTTACCGGCACCGCGTTATATACCGAGGAAGAAGTTTGATATTTTTACAACGAATGAAGTTCATCAGGCTGACCTCTTGTTTCTTCCCCACGATAAGGTAAAACGCAAAACGTACAAATACGCTTTAACGGTAGTGGATGTGGCTAGTCGATACAAAGAGGCTGAGCCATTAACATCGAAAGAATCAACAGAGGTAGCTAATGCACTGAGTCGCATATATAAACGTGGACCGCTAAAATGGCCTAAGCTATTTCAAGTAGATCCCGGTCGCGAGTTTATGGGATCGGTAACTAAACTGTTAACAAAGAACGATGTCAAAATCGTCCGTGGTGAAAGAGAGGCCCACCGCAGTCAAGCTATCGTCGAAAGATTTAACAGGACATTAGCGGAACGTTTGTTTGGCTATCAGTATGGGATCGAAATGAAATCCGAGCGATTGAGATCAACCGAATGGGTGACACGATTATCAGCCGTTGTATCAGTGCTGAATAATGAAGTAACGAGATTAATAGGGAAGAAACCATCCGATGCTATTAAAATGAAATCAGTGACTTCCGAATCTTCAGCACCGAGGAGAGGCAAAGAACGAAAACTTCCGGATAGAGTAAGGGTAAGATATTTATACCTGGCCGGTGAACTCGAAGGAGGCCTACGTCGTGCAACCGATCCCATATGGTCCCTTAAGACGTATAACATTAGTCGATTGGTTACGAAAGAAGGAGAGCCTATTCTTTATTATCTTCAAGATGGACCCGGTAGGGCATTTGTACGAGAAGAGTTGTTCATAGTTCCCGACGGTACGGTATTACCACCATAACCATAAGCATAGGTATTTACACCATCATTATCAATCCATCTCTTTGTATCTAAGGGGGATAATGATGTCTTGTTCATTCTTAATCCATATATCCTATGATTGTAACTTCTTAAAGAGTTCATCTCGTGTTTGAACGTTCTACCGTTGAATAATGATTCTTTATACTGTTCGTGTTTGATATGCTTTTTTACAACATACTTCTTAACACCCTTAGCTTTTCTTATCTCTCCATTATCGGACTTCTTTATAGAATACATCTTAGGTCTTAATCCCACATACTCCGCTATAGGGGTCCCAGCACATTCATCCTTCATCTTACCTAACACCTTTTTATTTACAACGCTGTGCAGTGGATTATCTTTTGGGTAATCGCTCGTGTCGTACATATCTATTTTTTCTGCCATATCTTTATACACATCCTCGGTTTGTATT